CTAACATAAGAATTGTATGATTGACAATAAGAAGAATTATAAATTTGATCTGGGAGTTAAAGGGTTAAATGTAATCTGCAAAGACACATAGTGAACCTGCTCATACGCACACATATGGAATGATCAAAGAGATTATTAGCTAAAGTGTAGGCGTTAACAACTACCTGTACAAATTCACCATACTTAATGAAGTACATAGCTTTGTATAAATAACCAGTAAGGATAATATACAAGTTAATCATAATGGGACCAAAAACTATTCAACGATGAGTTTTTCAGGAGGAGAGCCTTCATAAATTCCAACATCAACACTTCAGTTTCTGAGTGGTGCATGGACAGTCTAATCATTAGGCTGAATCTGGCCAAGACTTAAGCCTTTCACTCCCAAGATCTCATTTGTAATTCTCCCTATTGTCTACCATCCAATTTTCATCATGTTGGTTTGGAGAATTACATACTGGGTCATATAATTAATCCCTTATCCCCCATCATGTTGGTTCGGAGAATTAGATACTAGGTCATATAATTAATCCCTTATCCCCCATCATGTTGGTTTGGAGAATTAGGTACTAGGTCATATAATTAATCCCTTATTTATATTTTTCTTCATGCCCATCCAGTGTCCACTTGGTATATTATTGATACCGTGACGAGAAGTTCTGTCTTGGTCACTCATGGTAGTTAAAGGGTTTAACAACAGATAATTTCTCATGTCTTGGATTGATCAGTGCATCAAATGTGTTTTATTCAAAGGTACAGTACAGACCTAGTCATTCCTGATGCAGCACAGTAACCACTTACCCATTAAATCTCCTCTAATTCATTTAAAATTCAGGGTCATTTATGGCAGAATGTATTTTTCACCTTCATCAATATTAGCAAATTTGAAACGTATAAGCTGAATGTGCATGCAATTACCACATGTACCCTTAAATACAACTAACTTTACTGCAAAGGAAAATTGCACATGAACATGCTTGAGTCTTACAAGTCTCTGCTGGATCATTTTCTTCTTCAGTGCTTCTTGCTCTCTCTCCATCTCCAGCTGTTGTTGTCGCTGTTTCTCCAGCTCTGCTTGTCGCTTCTGTTCAGCTTCAAGTTTTGCTCTTTGTCTCCTTTCCTCCTCCAGGGCTTCTTTCCTCTCCCTCTCCTCTCTTTCTTTTTTCATTTTTTCTTGCAATTCCATGCGTCTCCTCTCAAGCTCCAGGCGGCCCTTTTCAAAGTTATCTTTCCTCTTGTCCTCAAAAGTAACTAAAAAAAAAAAAGAATTAAATCAATAACCTAGTGACAACCCATACTGTCTGCAAGTCCATGTGAGTTGATTGTTGTGTCAAAATTTAATTTTTAAAAGTCTAATGCAGGTTTTTAACACTTTTGTTTGATGACCCTCCCAGAAGGATTGATTACAAATAAAAAAGTTTGAGTACCACACAAGGTAAGACCTAAACATCCTAGAAGGATACAAAAATAGCTGTTCAAACGTACAAACTCCCTTAGCATTTGAGGTACTTCCAGACCGTGCCCTTCCATCTATGCTTCCACTTCTCTCTCTTTCACTCCCACTTCTCTCTCGTCCACTGTCGGACCGTTCACGACCGTCTGCAACTGATGAAAATGTAGTGCTTGCTTGCCGTGACTGGAATGAAGGTGGAAGAAGCTCTGGTGGAACAGTAGGGGGCAAGGCCTGACCGTGCTTTGCCAGCTCAACCAAGTGCATTGCCAATGCAAATTCTTCAATATTCAGCTGTCCATCTTTGTCTAAATCTGAAAGATTCCTAAATTATGAAAAAAAAAATAGGTAAATTACACTGTACTTGTTCTAAGTCCAAATGTTCACAAATAAAAATGTGAAAGAAAAGCATAAAACTGAGGACAAGAAGCAATGCACAATACCACTGGGAAATTTTTTAGATTTTCATTTTTCAGCCGGTGTCCAACTATCCTGATTGTTCTGGATTTATCTTTGGTAAAAGAGCTCCTTCTAGTTATTTAAATATTAACAAGACTGAAATGTTTTTTAAATCTAACTTACCATATTTGAGCAAGAATTCCCTGTGAAAGTCCTGACTGAATTAACATACTTCTAGCTTGTTCACCTAAAAAAAAAAAAAAAAAAAAAACCAAAAACAGGCAAAAAAGTGTCAAATGAATATATACATTGCACTTAATTGTTAAGTCAACTTGATTTTAAAAGGCACTTCTTTCATTTGATGCTCATTACCTTACTAGGGACATTTTGATTTAAAATCTATCAAATAGTTTTTGTCAAAGCTCACAGATTTCTTTAACCTTTGCTATCAAAAATGTGTATGCATCTTAGAATGGATTATGTCCACAGGCAGACTCCATTGTAAACATTTGTGCCAAATGGAAGTTTTTGTTTATACATTGTATTTGAATGACACATTCAGTGTACATGGTGCATATCCACATAAATTGTTCACAACAAAGCTGAATCCTTCGCCCATACATTTCACACCTGATTTTTTCCCCCACTGAATTCTTTTTGCCACAAAAATAACTCAATATACCAAAACTGCTTTCCAACTAAGTGATGTTAAGAGTACTGAGTAAACCCAGTAAATGTGGTTCATGAAAATCAAAAAAGACAAAGAGGCAACCACTTAGCTGATCAGTCTGCCAATTTTGAACAGTTTCCTCACCTGATAAAAAGCCTGTCTTCTGATAATCATTTGCTTTAAACATCTGATTATATTTCAGTCTATTGTTTGGTGATATAGTTCCATATGTTCCTGCTCCAGCTGGACTAAAACTTCCAGTCAGTGAGTTTGCCCTGCGGACACTGGGAATTCCTGGCCCAAAACCACTCTGACTTTGACCTCCAGGCCCATTTATTATTGCCGCACTTGGAGCAGCAGTGTTTAAGGCACTGCTCATTCCAACATTAAATGATGATGATAATGATACCGCAGGTAAGCCTGCTGATATCTGCGGCCCAAAAGAAGAACCAAATACAGAAGACGATGAAGACACTGCTGCTCTTGTTTGTGGTGGTGATTGGCTTATTCCTGACCATGAAATGCCCGAAGTTTGTTTGTGTGGCAGTGTCATCATACCAGCTTTGGAGAAGCCGTTTGATATTGGTTGATTGGAGGACTGACCCCAATCAGTGGAAGATTTTGCTTTCTGTTGACCCACTTGAAAGGTGCTTGGCATTGAGGTCATTTTTAAACTATTAGGGAGTGATGTGGGTAACTCCACTCCTTTTAACTTGCTTTGTATCAAATGAACAGCAATAGTAAATTCTTGCATAGTCATCTTTCCGTCCCGGTCCATGTCTGCAAGATTCCTAGAGTGCCAGTTAAAAAGATCTCAGTTTTACCTCTGTGATATTGCAGAGTACACAAGGTCATTCCCAATCATTTTAATTCATACAGCAGTGTTTAACCCTTGAACTCCCACTAGTGACCAACACTCAATTTCTCTTTACAGTATAATACCCTGGGTATGAAAGTTTATCAAGAAGGAACTCAGTTAAATTTGAGGCTTAATTCAACAACAAAACAAAAATTACCCATAATACAAAATTATTGTGAACTCAAACATAAATTTAATTCAGGTATGAATGTCAGTCAAGCTAGAACTCTTTGGTGCACTGTCTAAATGCACCACATAGAATATTTTTATGAATTTAAATACGTCTTACCATATCTGACCTAACACCATAGGTGGAAGATTAGACTTCAGGAAATACTTCTTGGCTTGTTCCCCTAAAGGAAATACATATTTACATCATTAGTGATTCTATAAAATTAGCTAGAGTCTTTGAATTTTATCAAAAACAAAAACTAAACAGTTATTCAGAAAATAAATTTCACTTTTAACAGCTTTATAGGCATAGTATTAGATTCCCCTTCCAAGTGCATCTTATTAAAGCTCGTTATGTTAATTTCCATTCATACGAATTTAGTTTCCCATTCATTTTTGTTTTAATACATAAAATTATGAATGTGTTTTACACAAGTCGATTGTTAACAAACTGCTGCAAAGAATCTTTCAAATTAATCTGTATGTTAAGGATCCTTGTACAGATCTACGGTCGGATCAAAGAGATTACACTGTCTCAGTTCAACAAACTTAATGTCATTCACTGTTTTGATTGAAACAAATGGATTATCGGGAGGCGGATAAGACAGGAATGCAAATAAACACGTTACAACTTGAATGTGCAAATCTGGTGGCAAAGATCACTAGCATACTTTATTATAATTGTGTCTAATATCAAGGAATTGAGCAAACCTGTCAGGAAACCACTCGCTGGATTCAAACTTTGAAAGGTTGCTTCATGTTTAGTCCGATCTTCAGATGTTATCACCCACGAGGCTTAAAGAGAAAGAGACCAAATCAAAAGTAAAAGGAGAATCTTAGCAACAGTACCCTCCCAAGTAAGCAGAGAAAAAAAAGAATCTATGTTGTAAATGTAATTATTCAGACAAATGAGCACACCGGGTAGGGAAGGGGCAAGTCCGCCTGACGATGCCATCCGTGTCTTGTCGAATTCACTCCTTGGCCATACCAAAAATGCTCCTGTCCGAACTGAAATCTTTCACAATAAAGCGCTGAGATTTCAGTTCACTATCCCCTGAGAATAAAAATCTTCATTTTCAAGAGTCAGACTTTTTCATTTAGTCTCCAGCGAATCAGAAATCTAGTCGACGCCGACACAACAGCAATATTTCAAACTGACGGTGGAAGTTTAACACCATCCGATGAAGCGCAACGCACCAGCGCCTCCTCTCACAGGCAGATTAACAGGTGAGCTGAGGAATTAATCCCTGAGGACTCCTGGAGAACTACAACTGTCAATACACCGGTTGACTACGATCTATAACTGAAAAAGATAACACGAGCTCATGCCCCTTTGGCATTCGAGCTAAACAACACATGTCAAGAGCGCAAGCGCATTTAGGTAAAAGCGTGGCATTGTGGGATAATTGTATATTAGCGAAGAGACTGGGTTAAAAATTTTAATCCAAGATGGCTTCCCAAACCTACTTATCATAGAAGGTTTTTAATGAGTTTTTCATATTTACGTCTGATTGCTTTACGCCACATTTCATAATGGGAGGAAAAGATAAACAAAGAACTAAAGGAAACGCGAAGGTATAAATATAGTGATGCGGTTCTTCTGCGTGTCAATGTTTGAAGAAATTTAACTTCCTGTGTAACTACTATCGTAATCAAGTTTTTTCATCATATTCCAATATGAGTAGGATTTTGCCAACCAAACTCTAAAGATGAAAATGAGGTGTGATAGCAATTGGAAGAAACACCGATCTATTTTATCTGTTTACACATAATTTTTGAAAACAGCTGTTATATTCAATGGTGGTGTCTTTGTCTCACACTAGTTCGTTAACTCGTTGTGACGAAGGGCCACGCTCGATCGAAACGCCTGCTTTAGAAACACTATATGGTAGCCTAGTTAAATTATAAACTCGGTTTATAAAACGTAACTATCTTGTTATACCCTCCACCGACGTAGCAGTACAGGTAAGTTTCTTTAGAAACCTCCTTATTCATTTCACTTATAATCAGTAAATTAAAACTAAATTAAAGCTAAGTCTTGTCCAGATACATGTAATTTAGTCACAGGGAAGGAGTCTTGCAACACTATTACAAAACATATTACTTTTTCTGTATTATCATACTTTACCAGCCATCTAGCAGTGGCCGTGCTGCTGCTTTGATCTCGAAAGATGGAACTGTGGGTTTTGTTGGGTTTGGAGGACTACAGGGCAGTCCAGGTGCAAGTAACCTTGGTTATGTTCCAATGAGCACTGGTGTTAGTGAAGATGTTGATGCATCTGTTGATGGAGAATTCAGGATGGTGATGAGGAAATTGATGAAGAGAGACTCAGTTACAAAATTGAAGGTAAATTTGTATCATCCCATAATTATTTACTGTTAATTCACATTGCACCTGTACCTGAATACAAAAAATAGTAATCCTTTGAGATTAGTTGATGTACTTCAGTATGATGTGGAAAAGTTGCCAATTTCAACCTCTACCTTTCCAATTTAAAAAGTTCTCTGTATGTGTGATGATCTTGTATTTGTGTATGGCATGCTCCTGCCACAAGTGACCAAGACAGAATTTCTCCTTACAATATCAATACAATATCAAGCAGGCAGGTGATGAGAATAGAGAAGAATATCAATCATCAGGGATTATTAGTTGATCCAATACCAAATTCTCTGAACTAACATCATAAGAATTGTATGGCAGATAGTAAGGAGAATTACTTATTAGATCTTGGGAGTGAAAGGGTTAAAGCACCCAGTATTTTATTGAGCAACAGTAAGGAGTAATTTTCCTTGCAGATCACACAACGGGCAGAAGGGAGAGCACCAACTTCCTACCACCATAGCTTAGCTTGCTTCCCTGAAATCATGGGAGTAATCATAAATATTATTGTTATTAAAGAAAAGCCACAATATCTTCAGTAAAAAATCATCAGAAAACCCTTTGTTTACCTTCCTTCCTTTGGTTGCATCTTGTGTAAGCCAAAGATATATGATTGCAGTGGTAAAATGCAAAATAGCACAATATACAAGTAAATGGTCATTACTGCATTGTCTCTAACTTATTTTTAATTATTTTCTTCTCTAGGCTGTACAAGAGTTCACCGAGTTATGCAAGAATTTGACTGTTGAGGCTGTGGAAAGTGCTCTGCCTTTCTGGCCAAGGCTGTTCAACAAATTAGCTCTGGTAAGTTCTCAAATAGAACAGTTAAATTGAAATGGAAACATGGATTGTGGTGACTGACAAGAGAGCTCTCCTCCAATCATTAAGCTCCTGACTGAATTCCTGAACCCTTTGTTATATGTACATGTAGCTTGAGTTTCTTGTTTCTGTTGTATCTTTTAACTTGCTCTTTTTTTATAGCTTTTGATTTTCCTCTCTTCCCAAAACCAACACTCCAAATTCCAATTTTACTTGAAAACAGTAAAAAAAAAAGCCAACCTGTGGATGTCATTGCTTAATTTTTTTTTCAATCTTTCAGTTAATTTTTTATTACACAGGATGTTGATCACAAAGTGCGAGAAGCAACTCAACAAGCCATGGAACAGTTGGTTCTCAGAGTTGGTCGTAATCTTGCTCCTCATCTGCGTTATATTATTGGTCCCTGGCTGTGCACACAGTTTGATACCTATGCAGTTGTTGCGTCATCAGCTAGGAAGTCATTCCATGCAGCATTCTCAGAGGAAAAACAAACTGATGTCATCATGTTTTGTAGAAAGGACTTATTTGAGGTATGCATGTTCTTACAGGTTGTAAACTGTATCTACTGCACAAAGTGCATGGTATATGTGCAGTACAGTGTTTTTGTCTTGCGCACCAGCTAGTTGACAATTGCAGCATTCAGTACTACTAAATAAAACCTAAAGAGGGATATTTTCCTTCTGATTGAAATTTGTTCTCCTGTATAAAGACATTTGCTTCATTTGTTTTGTCCTTAGTGGGTTCCAACCATTTATATTCAGTTTTACAATCAATAATTTTCTCACATATTTTTGTCATTAGTACCTCCTTTCATCCATCCTCTTTCCCTTCATCCATTCTCTTATCCATTTACATGACTGGTTCTTCAATAATTCAATTGGTTATTCATTCATAATTCAAATTATTGTCAGCAGGTTAATTTACAATTTTTTGATCTTACAGTTCTTTCAGGACAATATATTAACACAGACTCCTTCCACCCTCTCTGATCCAAAGTAAGTGAACACTGTGAAAATCAGAACCTGTCTGATTTTGTTACAGAGCTCAAAATTTGTCCCACTTCCTATTCTATCAATTTTATTCACACATTGCTTTTGACATTGTTGATCTTTGCAATATGCAGAATGCATAATGTCATACACATGTACATTGTTTAAACCTAGTGTTGGCCTATCTTGCCTTAGATTTCCCTGAGCCCATTGTAACTGAAGTAGAAGAGTATTGGAGCATGAAACCCAAAGCTCAAGAGTTCAGTTCCTAGTGACATACTGTTCCATTCTCATTAGAGGAGCAATAACTTGTTCTTTAATATATTGTTATAACCAAACTCAAAATTTAACATTTATCCTATTCTATGTACATAAAGATTTGTTTCTGAAGAAGAAAGAGAGGCTAAATATAACAGAGTGCTCTCATCTTCCATCTTGGGGCTTGGACATCTGATAAATGTTATATCGCAGAAGGACAGTGCAGATATGGTGGACCTTTATCTTAAAGTTCTGCGGCAAAACAAGTTCTGGAAATATGCCAGGCACAAGTCCCCACATGTATGTGTCTAATAAAAGTTTAACATCAGTTTGTATTTTGTGGAACATTTGCCTTTTATGTATTGTCATTAGTGACACATATTTGATTATTGGGTTGAAATGATTTCAAGTAAGCTACAATTTTTTTTCAAGTAGAATGTTGTTCTATAGCACTGTAGTTACAATTGAATTTTTGTTAAGGATTTATCTCTGCCATTCCTAATCATAATTCACCCATTATGAATGTAAGTTTTCATGACTATAAAGCTCAAGTATTGGTAGTACACATCAAAAGATAAAAGATCAAGATGGATAGATACAAAAATCAGAATGGATCAACTCCAGCTCACTCAGATCACTTTGGACTCATTCAGATCACCTCAGATTGAAATAAATTCCTAAATCCTACTCTGATCACCCCAGACTGTGGTAAAATTCTCAAAGAGGTCTTTTTGAAATCATATTTCACCTTAAAATTCAACTATCATGATGTCAAATTCAGTCCCATCTGCCCTCTGATCAATGGTTAAGCCACCATGTTGTTTTATTAACTAGTGGTAGGTCTCTATATGACCATGCAGGTTCTCAGCTGATCTGAGTAAGTCAGTGTTAATCTGCACCCGGACTAGCAATCCAAGTTGATCGAGTCCAACTTTTATACCTACCTGGAAAATAGTACTTCTAGTAACAAAGGACACATTGTGTGTGTTCACTTAGGTGCGAGGTGCTGTATTCTCTACCGTCAGCATTGCCTGTGAGCAACTCCTTTCTGTGATGTTGTCAATCAGCTCCCAGGTCTCTCCAGCTGTGTTATCTGCACTGGATGATTCTGATCCTGCAGTCTGTCAACAACTGTGGAACGCTGTTTTATCTGTGCTCAAGAATATCACAGTAAGCGACTGACCTTGTTTCTTGCTTTTTTAATTTAGGGGAAATTTAACAATGTGCACTGTTTGTTACTTTCTTTCAAAATATCCATTTCCTGACAGTCAGTTATTAAAATTTATATTTTTGAAATTTTTTACTAAAAAGGACTGCTGGATCCAAGTGAAAGCCCGTAAAGCTGTTTTACCTAAACTCTGGTCTGTCTTGAAGAGTGGTGGCAGTGGTTGTGCTACCATGATCTTTCCTAACTTACTTCCATTCTTGAGCAAAGTACCTTCAGAGGTTTGCATTTATACTTTGAATACATATTTTGCAGCTATAATCATAACATGGTATTTTACAGTCCTGTTTTTTTTTTTCAAGAATGTCTTGAAAAAAAGAAGAGACACACAAAAACAACCACAAAACAGTGAAAAAATAATCTGTCACTTCCCAAATACAAGTCAATTTATTAGTTGGAAGTTTTCATATTCCTATTTCTTGTCTTTCTCTATTCCCAAACCCTAAGAATTTTTTTATGACTTAGTTGGAGTCCAGGTGGATGCTTGGCTGAAAGGTTCCAGTTTAAATCCTGTCCAAGCTCACCAGGTTTTGTCTTCTTGGGCGAGAAACTTTAGATTACTTGGACCACAATAATTATCACTAAATAGTCACAGAAACCTGGTGCAGTGTGCTGATGGGTAACCTGTTATGGGCCAACATCCAATTTAATGGGTTAAGAAACACTTGTTGCATCTTGCCTATGAAACAGCCAAGGATGTGTACAGTGTATTAGCCATCATTTTTGGCCACCTACATGTAGCTTGATATGTAGATGACTTACATTGTTACTCTTTTAGCCTGCAATTTGGCCCCTATTCTTAGGGCTGTAGGACACTCATTTCTCCACCCATGGCTGTATTAGAGACAATTCTGGGGGAGGATTGTCAGGAGGTCTGGCACTCAATATCAGTGTTAGACAACTTCCTGCAGGCAAAGGAATGCTTTTACCTTATGAGGTGGGTTATCTTCTTCAGCCCTGAATAATAATGCTCTTTCAGGTTATTGGTAGTGGCATGGGTTTCTACCAAGAATTCTTTACAAATCTCCAAGAAGGTCTGACTAAGGAGCGAGTGCAAAATAGCCCTAGTGAATGTTCAGCAGTGATTACAGCGTTCATGGAGTGCCTGAAATTTTGCCTTCTACACGAATATGGGGATGGATCAAACATGGAAATCTGGGAATATTTGATTAAGGAGCAGGTACTCAATTTTAGGAGTTTATCCACTGAAAGTATGTCTGCATCCCACCAAAAGCAAGGATTGAGTTAAGGGAGATAGGGGTTGTTTAAAATAACTTCTTCCTTTTGTGGCCAAGGATGGTGTCAGTAAAAGGTGGCTGTGCCAAAAGGCAAAACCAAAACATGAGAGCCTGCTTGCAAAAGCACTGACAGATGTGATTACCTAATCATTCATGTACATGCAGTGGATTGTGCTGTACTCCCATAGCCCCTCTCTAAACATAGAATTTTATTACTTTAAATGGACACGAGCTAACTGTGGGGGGGGAAGTACCCACCTGGAAAAATGTTGGGGGAAAGCAAATGTCTCTGCATCCTGGAGAAGGGATAACACTCCTCGTTACTTCATTTTTCTGTAAGTGGAATAAAATTTGGCTATTGCAAAACCATGGATTATACCTCACATCTTAACCCTTTAACTCTCATGAGTGACCAAGACAGAACTTCTCCTTACAATATCAATACAACATCAAGCAGAGAAGTAATGAGAATGAAAAAATTGATATATTAATATTAAGGGAATTTATCGGTTGATCTAACACCAGATACTCCCAACTAACATCATGAGAACTGTACAGCAAACAGTGAGGAGAATTACTAAATGAAAAATTGTGAGTGAAAGGGTTACATATACATGCAGCTGTATATGCGATGTATATTTATAAGAAATACTTGCAAACAAGTGTTATTGCTCACTCCTAGAAGAGGCATGCAAATGGTAAGGTGATGCCATTTGCTGTTTTAGATTGGCTTTTTAACTGGTTTACAACATTCTTATCAGTAAGTTTGCTGACTGATTGTGGATTGTTCCTTTACTCCTTTTCAGCTGTTGTCTCTGTTGAAAGAATCATTGGAAAAGCAAAATAAACTGACATATGACAGTCTGTATACTCATGCAGCTGATCTGCTGTCATATTTGTCTATCAAAGCAAAAAGTGATTCCAAGACAGGAAAGGATGTAGAGGAGGAAAAATTACCACAAAATTTCTGCCACATATTGAAATGGTTTTGGGAGGGCTTCAGTTCAATCTGTTTGGAAAATCTTGAGTCTGGCTCCGGAAAAGTGGTAAACATACTGTTCTTTATTTGTAAACAAAACTTGTGCTTGTAAACAGGAAAATGGATGGTTACCACAATTATGGTTCTATGCAATGAAATCTGTTTACTACCTCAGAGCTTGCTGGCCAACTGACTAGTGCTTTAGTGAAGGAGATTTTCATATCATTCCAAGGTTCCCAGACCAGGATATTCCCATTTTGTAATCCATGTGGTGGCTACCAAGATCTTGATAAGATTTAGGGGAATGTAATACTGTTGTGTAACATTATGGTCATCAGCTCAAACAAAACAAACGGTCAATCCCTTATCTGGTTTTTCCTTGGTGATTGAAAATGGAGTTGTAAAAGGTAGAGTGAAGGTACTTTTGAATAAAAAGTGTAAGTTTGTGAAGAATCTGTGGTACTGCGCTGGTGGGGCATGATAGATAATTTGGCTTTATCAACTGAGCACAGAGAATTTCTTAAGTTGATACTTTGAATTTGAACCCTTGGTTGGGGTGAAAAACAAATGGATAAGGATACTTGTGGCTGGTAAAGTAAGGCAGTTCATTGAAAACAACATGTCTTTCTCTCAGTGGTTATTCAGTTTTACATTAACATTTTTTTGGATGTTGTTTTGATGCTTTTTTTGTTTGTTTGTTTTTTCTTTTGTTTTGTTTTTTTTCCTACAGGTAGTTGATGAGGTTGTTAATTCTGTGTCCCACTGTTTGGTTATGCTAAAATGTCCCACCAAGAAGAAGAAAAAACAACACAGAGTGGCATTTATGGAACTTTTGTCATCTGAACCATTAGATTCATCTGAGGCTGATCAATGTTTACCATACAGTGATTCTAGAGTGACATTGGTCAATGTGGAGAGACTCTACAATGGCTGTCTTTTAGATTTAGTTTGCAATATTTGTACACTGTGTATGAATGAGATCACTAAAAACAATTCAGTGGTGCATTTGAAACTTCTTTCTTCTCTTATCCCCGACTTCACATCAACAAAACTTGTCAAATCTTTGCTTGACAGCTCAAATGGACCACCTACAACTCTGTTCGCCTCAGAAAATGATGATTACTCGATTTTGTGTGAAGAATTCCTACTACATACTTTGTTTCCTTGGATCAAGTCCTCCCTGCCTGCGAATGAAAATGTTACTTGTGTTTTTATGGATAGCAGATCTGTTGATTACCTCATCAATATTTTATGTGGCATTATAACAGCTTTACCAATTGTCAAACAAGTGGAATTAGTGTCAGAATCCCTCCAGGTAAGCTGTTTGTATAATCGTAAGAGAATCTCTTCTCTCTCTCTCCCTTTTCCTTTTCCCTTTTGGCTTCCCTTTTCCTTATGGCTCTCTAATTCTTTGAACAGGTTTTTGTTGTTTTTTGTTGTGTGTTTGTGTATAATGTCAGCTAATAGCGCTCTCTCTATTTCCAGCAAAACAACTCCATCTTTTTCCTGTACAAAATTCTCGAAAAGGTAAGCATGATAGGTCGGTGTTTTTAAAAAAATAACTTTCAGTTTTCCATGGGTTATCCGTCTCTATAAGCGATAGGTTTTGACCAATCAGGTCGCTCGTAGTCTTTCGGTTAATTTATGATGTACAAAAATCATTTTCTACATCGAGAACTGTAGAATTTTTAAATAACTTAAAAGCTCTCAGGTGATTATCTTATTTTATCATATGAAAAGGTCGTCCTCAGGTAAATCCGGGCTTTCCGATTTTTTCCTTGATCTGTATTAAGCCATACGGACTGTTTCCACGGAAACGGTCATAAGAAGTGTATTTTGTTCGCAAAAGCCGCTAAATGTAAAATAAACAAGAAGGATACGAGTGCCACTTAACAAACCACTTACTGTTCTTGTTGGCTCGAGCCTTACCTAGGAACATTGACTCTCGGTCGTTCTTGCACGGACCTCGCTGTGCTCGATACGCACCGCCACTTCTCTAAGCCAATATTCCCCAATACTACCCGCGCTCTCGGTTAGGAAGAAGTTATTATTTACTCGTAGGGACTCCACTCTGAGGTTCCCGGTGTTGCAAGTTGGCTCCAAGGCGATGAAGGAAAAGAGAAACTTCTTGGCTTGTCTATGAGTTTGATTCCTCGAGTTGGACATAAGTCTTCTCTTTCTGACGAAGAGCGAGAAGTTGTGTGGCGTCTCCTTAAGTTGTGCGTTGTTACGAATGGGAAGGGTTAGTTTTTTTATGTCTTTGATAAATGAGATACATCTTTTTATTCAGATTTTTTATTTCAAATCAACTGATTCATTTTTTTTTCTCGATTTCAGCTGCCTTGCTGGAAAATGAACTGGTAGACCAATTTTGTCAGCATTTCCTCAGGATTCTTAAACAATCAAAGCAGGAAAATGAGGCAGAATTGTTGATGTTGCTCGACATTTTACATTTGTTCCTCACCAATTGTGAAAATAACGTAAGTGTTAATTGATTATTATTCGTTCTAATAGAGGATATGTCGCGAGCAAAATTGCATTCATGTTAAAGAAGACCTCGGATAACAATAAAAACTAAAAGTGAATCGATACGGCCTTGTGCCGGGGTTGGGTTGGGTTGGTAAGGGTTGTTAGAAATACTTTAAGAGGGAAACATGGGGATCGTTATTTAGGACAATTGTGTTAGCCGGCTCTGTCATTCAGGTTGTCTTGATCAATTCTGGGTTTGCTTTTCAGCCTGATGAGATTGTGCCCTGTACAGAAGAGCTTCTCCTAGCTATCTTTCAGCTACAACTGGGAGACATGCCGCCTACTGGTGAGCAACATCGTCTTGTAGTTCGAGGCTTTCGCATACGAGATCGATCCGTTTGAGGCGTTGGGAATATTGCTTTTCCTTCTGCATAGGATGAAGGTCAACTAAGGATTGCTGCTTCTCTTCACCACTTTGTCATGTTCCCTTGACGTTTTTAGTACTGGGTGGGGAAAGATACTTTGCTGGTAAAATGTCTTTTAAGAGAACAAGAAACTCATCATCTTTCATTTCACATTATTCGTCATTCGGTCAACTAGAGATCATGCAAGGGAGATGGGATAAGTTCACAGTGCCCCTCAAAAACTGAGTAATCGAAATTACACGCTAGTAACATACGTACTTATATCACAAAGTCAGCGAAAAGAAAGTTGATGTCAGCGCGCCGCGCGGAACTCTGGGAGTGAGGCGAACTACTTCTTGTGCACTATTTTTGGTGCGCCTCACTCTCAGAGTTCCGTGCGACGGACTTCGTAGGAGAGGAGGGACTGCTCGTCATCTTGTCCTTCTTGTGCGTGGTTAGCCAAGATCTCTAGGCGCTGACGGAGATTTAAGAATAGAGATAGAGCGACGCACTTCAAATTTTCATATGAAGCAGACCAGAGTTGCATCATTTGTCTTTCTTTCATGGAATCTTAAATAAATTGCAGCAAAAGTATAACTCTTGTTGTGCTTTGTTTTCCAGATACTGTAACTCAGTCTTTGATAGGAACATGGCAAAAAGGATTAAGGGTCTTCCGACAACTACCCTCTGATGTGGAATGTACTTGTTGTGAGGCGCTGGTGATTAAAGCGGCCAGACTTGTGCTAGAAAAATTGGTGAAGGTTGAAACACTAGAGAGGTATCCAAAACTATGTTCTGCTTTATTTAGGTCGAGAAAAGAATGAATATCTCGAAATTTTTTAGACGATATTTAAGGTAACTTCAATCCCCTTGTTGCAATTCCTTGTAACTGAAGAGCTTCTCTTTTTATATTTGTAGAGTGGATGATCTCGCTACTGTAGCCGTTCAACTTCTTAGAGACTCAATCAAGCTATCGCCTGCTGAGGATTCAATAGACGAGTTACTTCCACAAAGAGTGTTCACAGCTTTGACACCGTCTGAAAAACAACTGAGATTTCTTAGGAATGATTACTCTACGGTAGGCTAACGGTGTGAACTATGCTTTGAAAGAAACTCTTTTACTCCGTATTACAGGCGAAAAAAATGCTGCAGGTTAATTAACTTATTGACAAACTGTCGTGAAGCTCGGCTTCCTTCTCTTCCTTTATTGACTTTGTTCGTTTTCTGATTCCTTTTCGCACAGACAAAGTGGTTGCTGGTTCCTCTGCTCGAGAGGAAAATTCTTGTTTCATCAGATGCTCACGATCTGTGCGACGTAAGTGAAACTGTTCAGTCCACGCTCACAAATCATCAGAAAGTGATCTTGTTTTCGTCGACTCTGATCGTTAAGACGCTTTCGAATTCCGATGAGCTATCGAACCGAAAGAGTGACGTCATAACAAAGGAAAGTTTAATCCGCCTGTGGTTGGAGACGAGCTGGGTCCGACATTGGTGCTCGTGTGTCTTGGGAATTAGTGACGTTACTGAGGTATATTAAAGTTTTCCTTTTGTTTCCCAGACCGCTGTTAGAGAGTTTTAAACCATAGGGCATGCACAGCAAACTTTGAGTCATTACAAAATTGTCTTTTTATTATTTTACATTGAGTCAGGGCTTTCAATAAATTTTTCATTACCGGCAGCCGATGGCGTAATAAGCGACTGTGCCTGGAGAAGTAGACGTGAGACCCCCTTTCCACTAGGGGGTTGTGGGGGAATAATAAGCAGACGGCGGTAAGAGGTCTTAATGGCGGAGATAGACCGCCAGTGACCCGCCTTTATGGAAACACCTGTCTTAAATTCAGATCTAATTTGTACTCGTGGGTGTCCAATTTGTATATGTATTGATAATAATAATTAAAATATTAGTAATAATAACAACAATAATGATAATGATAACATTGATTTGGCTTTAATTTCTTGGAAAACCCGCTCTATAAAAAATATAAAATCGAGCGAAGTGAAGCACAGCTGCATCTGGCATAAATTGTATGTGTCATCTTAAGGAAACTTAACCGGCCTTATGCATTTTTTGTTTTTGTTTATTTGTTTGCTTTTTTTCCCGAAAGGAATTTGTTGCGTTTGGAAACAACTGTGACCAAACTATGGCTAATGTTCTTCTTAACCTAAACCATTCAAGTAGCCGTCTTCTGCAACAAATAAATGAAAATCAGTGGGGTGAAGCTCTTATCTTAGAAGCTCTCACGCGTTCAAGAAGCGAGGGTTTCTTGTGGTGCCTCGCTTTGGATGGCGTGTTACAAGATCTTCGGCAGCTTGGTGTACCTAGTGATACCGCAGTCCTATTGTCCGAGGTTCAATCTTTAGCATCGTTAGAGGAAAAAGAATGCCAGACTTTGAACACTTTATTATCTCATGTGGATGGAATATATGAGCTAAAAGTCATCACTGACCAGTTTATCGCCCTTATGCGCCAAGATATCGATGAGAGAGGTAAGCTATTAACATGTGTGCTTTTGTCCTGTTGCTTTCAGAGTTGCTCAGTCTGTTGCAATCTGGCTTTGTGTCGTACGTTTGATAGCCACTTGCACAGGGTCCTACGTTCATGACTGTAAAACCATAATTCAAAGCATATGTATACACTTGCCACGAGCGCTTCGTAATTCGGTGGCAAATCAGCCGCTATGTTTATTGTAAAGGATTTGAATTTCACTTAACTAACGCTCGAAATTTTTTAGTAATTTTCGGAACACAGAGGTTTAATAGTCACCCATCAGAATTCACTTCAAATAAGGCTTAACTTTGGTGACTGCCTTTTCAAAAATCAGTCGGTCGTCTGAAAACGAATCCCTTTGAACAGGAAGTAACTTTGGTAACCATACAAAGCCAGCAAAAATTAACTTATAGGTGCGCCGATTTGCTGCGCGCGGCAAAATGAGAGCCGCTCAAATTTCGTCACTTGTCACCCGTCTATCAGTGCTGTAATTGCCTTACTCTTCTTAATCTATCCACATTATTGTCCTATATTTTTACAGTTCCACCCTTTGACTCCCATGAGTGACTAGGACAAAATTTCTTCTTGCAATATCAGTAATATATCAAGCAGACAAATAATAAGAATAACGAAAAATATAAATCAGGGTATTATTAGAGGATCCAATACCAAATTATCCAAACTAACATCATAGGAGATCGTGGGAGTGAAATGGTTTATCGTAATTATTATATGGCAGGGTAGTCCTGACGTAAATCCCAGCGTTCTGATTGGATCCTACTTGGGCAGGATTTTATCCACGGAAGCGATCGCAAGCTGTGTATTTTTGTTCGCGAAGCCGGCAAATTCAAAATAAACAAGTTTGGTCCGAGTGCCATGTAGTAAACTACCTTCGCTTGCTCGAACCGTGCAATATTGACCCTCGGTCGTTTTTGAAAGGACCTTGCTGTGCTCGGTCTGTTCTGCCACGACCTTAAACCGATATTCCCTACTTCGGCCCTTATGCTTGGTTCGTTAGAAGTTATTAGTAACTGGTGTTTTCGTGATGTCATTCTTCGTAGGTTTCGCCCGTGTCTTCGCTATCATCGATGGTGCTCTCCACCAATGGCTTCAACAAACCAAAGGAGTTGAAGAAGCAGTGCTCGAGTATCAACTGACGATAACTGAGATTTTGGACGAGCTGGTGGAGTGGAATAAGACACATGACAGCCTTGTGCTCGTAAACAGTCCTCTGCACGATGCATCAACTAGTGTTTTGACCATCAACTTATCGCTCATCAGGATTCTAGAGAAGGCTCTGCAGCATTGTTCTGATGAGATGAGTGGCAAGCACTGGGATTTTATACTGTGTACCTTGGCTGGCTGGTTGCAGGTATCTGTGCAGATTTCTATGGACATGTTGTAGAGTGTAACAGTGGCAACTTCGAAAACATAGATTAAGTTGCTTTAACTTAACTTGTGGTCAGTTGACTGTTGTGAAGGTAGGGGAGGGGTAGGTGCGCAGTTGCTCAGATACTGAAATTAATCCCATAATTTACGACCGCAGATTTATCGAAAACAAAACAGCCATTTGCAACTATCTCAAAAGTTCGTTGTTCTTTAAAAAGCCACTAAAGTTGTTGTTCTTCTTTTCTCGCTTACTTCTAGGCAAAATGCATTATACCAATTATTATGCCTCAATTTCAGAAATGAATCTCCTTTTTATCAAAGATTTCTTTTTCAAATCTTGTTCCATTACAAGATCATGTTTCTTACGAGTAGTGTCGAGGGAGCTATAACGAAGGACAAAGTGACTTCATTCACTCATGAGTTTTATTGAATTTTTACACAAAGATGTTGTAGAAAAGCTCAAAAGTTTTTCACCGTAGCTTTTGCAGAGCTCAAGAATCATTGCATGCTAGTGTGGTTATGAGCATTTCTTGTATTTTGACAGACTTGCGAGGAAAATCGCCTTATCCTTACAACGTCGCTGAAATGTGTGGCACTATGCTGCCAAATTAGTTCACTCTTTTGCACCGTGGCACGTTTCTTTGAGGAGAATGCCTCAAAACTACCCAAGGTCAGTGAAGCGTCACATGAAGTGGACGGCGGATCTTTAACGACAGCTAACGCTCTTGGCTCTCCTACAAATATCTTTACGGAATGGCAGGAGTTCTTTAGTGGAACTTTGTTTAATGCGGTGTTACAACTGTTCCTGTTCCATGCAGGTGAGCGATGGCTTGGTCTTTTGTTTTGATCAAAGAAAAAGATAAGTTAATAAATGAAAAAAGGCAAGATAGCTGAAGGGTCCGCTGTAAGTTCAGTCTCTGGTCGTGTATGTTTCATTACACCCAGTGGAGAGGAGGAGAGGTTAGCTGGCCTAGGTTCGCAAACGCTTAACATTCAAATCCAGATCTAAAGTATTCCCAGCGACCAATCACATCAAAGGAAAATACCTCGAGGAACCAATGAAAGCTGAAAGCATAACAAGAAGAATGTCTGAAGCGCGGGAAAACGAAAGTACCATGTCGCGACCTGCTTGATTCTGCATCCAATTGGTGCACTTTGCGGAATTAATCACAGAGCGAAGGAAAGTAAAGCCAGTGCAATCGCAGGTTACTTTCGACAATCAATTGAAAAAGGTTCCTTTAATCAAAATTATCTTACTTGATTTTAGGTCAGTATCAAAGCGCCCTTTCTGAAACGTCATTGTGGTCAAACCGTGTCAGCGAGGGACTTGGGTCGGCTGTGGTCTACATTCCTACGACTTTTCTAAAGGAGCATAAATTTGAGGGGCAACCACAAGGAACAGACAATCAATGTTCACATATGCCCCAATGGACTGCTGAGCTGCTGGAACACTGCTTACCTCTGCTGAGATGCAGTCAACATGGACTCCAATTTGCGGCCTATCATCTGCTTTCTAAGTAAGTACTGACTCCGACTGCTGTATCCAGTTGGTAAAAGCACCATTTCAGCGAGGCTGACTAAGAAGTTTTCACGCATTACACTCGCAAAGAATTCCCCAATTTACTCTTACTCTGATTATCGCTGAGCTGGAGCCAGTCAAAATGTCGGTCATAACACCAATAACAGTCTGTAGCACAACTTCCTTTGCCCAGACAATTACACTGCACGATCGTAACCACCGGATCAAATTATATACTACACTTTCTACACTTTTACATTTTCAAAGAAGCAAGACATGCAAGCGGTTGAAAGCATCGCGTATGTACAAACCTTAAAAAGACAACCTTGGAGGGAACACTATTAGCCAGGTCAATCAAGTCGTTCGCATCTCAAGAACGTGGTATTGAAGCTCCGTATGTTTTTTTATCTGTAGAGTAATGAAGGAAGTCACGCTATCAGTCGAAAATGAATCAGAGACCGAGGAAGGAGTGGATGAACCTGTCAGGTACCCAGTTACAGACATTTACGGTTTTTGTAATAGTTCAAGAAAAAAAAAACAATGGAAACCCTCTCAGCCTGTCATAATCACCTATAAACTGAGGTGCATTTACTTGACGAGTTCCTGAGCGTTCATTCAGTTATTTTCTTCTAACTAGATCGAGATCGGTACAGAAGGGAGTCGTCTCTTCTCGACTGCGCAAGCTCAAAGGCTATTGCTGTATGCTATTGCTATGATATGCTAGTTACCAAGCTCCCAGCCTTTGTTTATAGTGCCTTGTGTTGATGTAATAAATTAGTTGTTGTACAGAACAGCCATCTTGGATTACGTTCACAGGCTTGCGAGTGAGTTCGAGAACATAACAGCTATGTCTCTCACTCTAACGCCTGTTACGAATGCTTCTCTCCATCAGTAAACCTTCTTTCCTCACTAACTTTTTTTATTTTTCTAGGATTCACTGCAATGTTTTTTTTCCCGCTTAAGACACCCTTTGTGTTTCGAAAAAAGCCAATCACTTGTTGTTTTGATTGTTTTTTGACAGATCGCCGCCTACCGCGTTGATGGAGCTGATAAATTCATCATGCGCACACATGACTGAAATGGTACACGAAGCGCATGTGCCATTCGGAGAACATCTGGACATGACAGGCGACACCGAGGCGCAGATTGTCAGCCTCGCTCTTATGTTAGCTTGGAAAGTTTTGCTTCAGTTCTTTAGAAGTTTGCCACAAGAAAAGCGAGTTGAATACGCCAAATACATCAAGCAAAATAAGATGGTGGATAGTCTTCTTTGCGTGCTGTTTAGACTGATTCCCGTGAAGTCGACAGTGGTAGTAGTGGAAACAGATGATTCTGAGCCGGGTATAAGTCGTCTTGTTGGTCAGCGTACTATCCAGCAGTTAGCATGTGGCTTGTTTTATTCCTTGTTACAATGGATGCCGGCCATTGTCAGGCAATGGTGGAATAGCGTAGACAAGCGTCAATCTGCTATTGTGGACAAGTAAGATGCTCTTATTACTTTTGAATTATTTTTCTTTAAATTCAATAAAATTGAGTCCAGTCACGGTTTATTTCGGCCTCAAATAACAACATTAATTGACCATTTTCCCGGTGTTGCTTTTTCGAGCCAATACAAACAAATTGCAAATAAACGAGGTGCTTAAAATCCCAGCTGGCCGGAGTTAAGGAGTTGAACTTGCGGCAACCGAGAACAAATCCAGAGAGTAGCAGGGTGCAAGACTTAACCCCGGACCGCAAGATTATAAGTTCAGCTCCCTAACCACTCGGCAACGCTGCCTCCACACTCACAGTTACAATTAATAGATTCTGTGTTCAGTCGGATAAGTTGATTTAACGATATATCCCATGGAAATGCGCCTTAAATGGAACAAGTTGGTCCAAACTGCTGAAAGTTAGTTTGACTGAGAAAGTGTTAGTGATATTAGATATAAATACTTTAAGAATCAGTTTAGAAACTAATTTAAATGGAGAATAATTTCTTTTTTGTCTCCGTTCGTGTAGATTCACAACTTCCAACATAACCCCACAACTTTGCCGGCGCGAAATGCAACTGGTTCAAACTTCGTCGATCCGGTTTGACAACATGCAGGTCAAGGCTCGACCCAATGCCCGCGAGGTTGCCGCGGTTTATACGATTGAAGAGATCTCCATGGAGCTGGTTGTGAAATTGGCGCCAAACCATCCACTGGGAGTGGTGTCTGTCGAGAGCGGCAAGAAGATCGGGGTGACAGCTGCTCAATGGAGAAGCTGGATGCTTCAGATGACGACATTTCTAACACATCAGGTCAGTGTCAAATTGCAATGTTTCTGACGTTACTAACTTTCGCTTGCACCTAATGTCGTTTAATGGAAAGGTCTATTCTTCGCTAGACGTGAATCTCACTTTTTAAAGCAATTGAGTTTCTCTCTTGTTAAACCTTTTTACCTTCTGAGGCTCCGACAGGAACCGCTCTCGATACATTCGGATTTAGCAAACTCATTAGGGAACTGTGCAATATAATTTGATGTTAATGATATAATATTGTGATGTCTTTTTCGTGACAATGACTTCAATAAATGCCGTTATTATATTTCTGGTTTTAGAATGGAAGCATAATGGATGGTCTCATTCTGTGGAAACGCAACGTTGACAAGCGTTTCGAGGGCGTAGAAGACTGCATGATCTGTTTCTCTGTCATTCATGGCAGTAACTACTCTCTTCCGAAACTGAGCTGCAAAACATGCAAGAAAAAATTCCATTCGGCCTGTCTTTACAAATGGTTCAGCACCAGTAACAATGCCACTTGTCCGCTTTGCCGGAATCTTTTCTAATCCTTAAACTTTCGAAAGTTATCAACATGTAAAGTCGCCTCTCACAGTTTACTACATTCCACAGTGAACAGGAGATCAGAATGGGCGACCAAAACAGGTGGAGGATGCCATGTTGATATAAACCAAATTCTCTAAACTTGTTTACAGGGAAAGTTTAACATAGCAGTTTTATGCTTTTCACTCCAAGATTTTATCATTAATTCTCCTTACCGTTTGCCATATTATTCTGATGATGTTAGTTCAGAGGATTTGGTATTGGATCAACTTCTAATCCCCCAATTGATATTTTCTTTATTCTCATCACTTGTCTGCTGAAATTGTAAGGAGAAATTCTGTGTTGGTCAGTCTGAGGGTTGAAGGAGCTCCTTGTCAACATTCAGTGTGGTTTTCTGCGACCTGCAAAATCACCCTCAAAATAAAAATATAGATTGTGTTCAATAAAAATATAGATTGTGTTCAATAAAAGGAGATCAAAGTAGCGAGTGTTACCCTGGAAAGAACGGTAACGGTGCTGTACGGAGATAATTAACAAATATTCCAAAAAACCAACCATAAACAATTGTCTAAATGATAAGAAGATGCAGAAACCAAAGCGCAGCTCTTGGACTTGTAAGTAGATTGGTCGGAGTATTAACATGTTTGTTTGACAGGCGGGGAGTTTTAAGCTGTCTACGTCTAATTTAAACCGAGTTTTTCATCGTTTCAATAATTATGATCCATACTTTCGAGTCGCCTTGCACAGTCCTAACTAATGCAATGAGTAGACGCGACCGATTCAAGCGTTATTTGTGTTCCAAGGCAATCCAATGTTATTGTTCCAGAGATAGTTGTGATCCTTCAGCCCCCCCTCCCCCTCCCCAGCCCCCCTTTCCCCCTCCCCCTTCCCTAGTATTTGTAGCTTGCCAAAACAGAAAGAAATGGAGGAGAATTGAGTTGGGAAATTTTCAAGATCAAGTACTGTTCAAAGGGCAATATTTCAGCCTCAATTCTCATCAGAATCTGTAAAGATGAGGTTAGAAAATTTTCAACTTAATCAAGTCAGTACCTCATCTAGACATAGTCATCCATGGTGTGTTTTCACGGGGCACAATATTCAAATTTAACACTTTCCATATCTCTAGCTAATTGGTTACCATTAGCATTTTATTGTATTGATTCAAGCATTTAAGAAGCGAAATAGTGGCGTGTTAACAGACCTTACCGAGCAATATTCAACATTCCTTGCTGTTGGTTTTGCTTTACTTAGCTTGACTTTTTGTGATTGGTTCAGAGAACCCATTGTTATTTGCAGATCGGCCACCACAAACATTTCTTTTATGCATTGAGACTCTGTGAAATAAATTCCTCAAAAGTGTGTCGTCATCACATCAGCAGAAAGTCGTACTTATTGCTAGTATAGTAAAAAGTGTGCTTTGGCGTAGTATAGATAAGTACAGAAAAAATTTGGGCTGTTACACGCTATTGGAAGGAGGTGACAAAGGATTAAAGTTCTCACCTTTTCATTGATTAATTAAGATATACCATGAGGTAGCTCATAAGAGCCTTTGATCAAAAATAGTGGTTTTTGATTGACTCGGCCGCTGGTGTTCTCTCCACTTTCAACCTCCGCGCTCAGCTTCATGTGACCAGTGCTGCTCAAAGATCAATCCGCTTAAATTAAAACTAACTACTATTTTTGAAATATGTGTCACTGGGTAAGCAAGAACTATGAAAAGTCTCAGTTCCAAGTTTTTATCGTTAGTCTACTGCTTGTGAAGTTTCCAGTAAGCGCGGTTGTAGTAATTCGCATCAGAACCCACAGTCTTGGGAGCTGACGTCCATCCCCCCATAACATAAATAATTATAGGTTGGCAAAGCCGCAATTGATAAGTTTGAGAGGGATAAGGACCTCTCTTTGATTCCTTGTTTTTCAAGAAAAAATATTGAGTTGTTGGTTGAAATAGTTAAAAAGCAAATATTGGACCAGAATTTTTACCAAAGGACATAAATATGTAACGTCTCCCTATGATATTCTAACGTTATCCAGGTAATGAGAATACTCAAAGCTGTTATCTTGCTCTAACAGCAAAGTCTCATAACTCAACTACAAGGAAATTTGGAGCAGCAAGAGGGGAGAATTAACAATCATATCTTGGAAGTTAAAGAGTTAATTAGTCAGCAAATGAAGAATGAACGAATGAAGAACTGCTCAGTTGTTTCATTTCAGTACCAGCAAAGACGAACAAGTCTTAAAATTATAACTTGTAAATTGGTGTAAACAAATTCGAGCGCTTAAGCCGATTATTTCAAATGTTAAATACAACAATCAATCAAAAAACGCAATAAGAATATTTGTGTCATAAGCGCCACACGTGACGCGTGAACACCCATCAGATCGGAGCTTTAGGGAGGGCGTTGCCTCCGGCCAGGGGGCAGAATAACACAACAGACATCTTATTACTCATTCCTATTTCTCTGAATATGCCGTACGCAACGCCCTCGTCTCCCTTCTACCGCTCCTTCCCCCTTCCCAACCGCCCCATCTCTCTCTATAGCGTTTAACGAACGAGCATCGTAGTGGACGATTTGTTTCCAAGTTTCCTTAAAATTCCAAACGGCTGGAGGATAATCAATAATATGTTGTGCTTGGTCCATACGTGACGACCTCGAGCCAGGTAATTTGACTTGCGGTCCTCCCACTCAAAAATTAAGTTATTTCAGATGGTAATGCTCTCTTTTTTTTTTTGAGTCCAAACAATGTTTCACTAACTTTAATGGCTTGGCAATTTACAATTATTGGACCAGTGATTAAAAACTGTTTCTTTGTTCGTCACCTAATAAGGTCGACCGGTCAACCGTTTACAACTCACGTCTTTAGCTTGTAGAGAAACGTTGTTTAAAATGTAGAGCGTTTGATTAAAATCAACTGGTATAAATGAAAATTTGCGAGGGAAACGAGCATCGGCTTACAGCAATCTTATAGCCATGTTATAGTCAATCAAAGACATCAAGACTCGTTGCTTTGTAATGCATCAGTGAATTTTTTTTTTAATATTCAGCCTTTCGTGCCTCACAAGGTAATAAACGCAAATATCAGCTAGCAAAGGAAGCTTGAGACTTTTTTAACGAAAGAAATGACGATCTGATACCGCATTTAAGAAACGTTTTGTGGCTCATCATAACAACGGTCGATAAGTCAATCGTTGACTCGTAACATTCCTAACAAATTAATAATTAAACCGGCGTGGTTGATACTTTCGAATCAGTTCACCACAACATCGAGCTTTTGTCCATCAACATTGCACAAGAGATTATAAACTTTACAATCCCTTGCTTTGCATCTGTGGTCATCTTACCAGGGGTAGGGTTAGCAGTAATCTAATGTGAGCGAATTATAACAAATTTTAAATTTTACGGGTGGAAATAATTCTAGGTTGGCAAATTAAGCCACAATTGACAAGTTGGAGAGGAATAAGGGCCCTCTGTTTGATTAAGCGTAACTCTGAAAACAAGGATAACGATGCTGTATGGAGACAATTAACAAATATTTCAGAAAACGAACCATAAATATTTAGTCTAAATGATAATGAGACGCAGAAACTGAAGTGCAGTTCTTGGACTCATAAGTAGATTGGTCGGATTATTAAGACATTTGTTTGACAAGCGTGGAGTTTTAAGCTGTCTACGTCTAATTTAAATCGAGTTTTTCATCGTTTCAATAATTATGATCCATACTTTCGAGCCGCCTTGCACAGTCCTAACTAATGCAAGGAGAAGACGCGACCGAGTCAAGCGTTATTTGTGCCCCAAGGCAATCCAGTGCTATTATTCCAAAGATAGTTGCGATCCATCAGCCCAAATCCCCCCTCCCCCTCCCCTAGCTAATGCGTAGAAAAGCAAACGGCTTTTCGCCTGAAAATGCAGTTAATTTACTTGAAGCTTGCTAAAACAGAAAGAAAACGAGGAGAGTTGAGTTTGGAAATTTTCAAGTCAAGTACTGTTCAAAGGGCAACATTTCAGCCTCAATTCTCATCAGAATCTGTAAAGATTAAAGATTAAAAGTGTCTCCCTCTTAGTTTAATATACATAATTACACAAAAGGTTTAATAGAAAAAAAGTTTAGCTGTCACGCGCTATTGGAAGGAGATGGCAAAGGATTTAAGCTCTCACCTCTTTATTGATTCATTAAGATAAACCCTGAAATAGCTCATAAGAGCTTTTGATTAAAAAATGGTGCCTTTTGATTGGCGTGGCCACTAGTGTTCTCTCCGCTGTCAACCTCCGTGCCCAGCTTCATATGTCCAGCGCTGCTCAAAGACCACTCTGCTTAAACTAAAACTAAAAACTACTTTCTAAATACTTGTTACTGGGAAAAGAAGCACAAAAAAGTCACAGTTTCAGGTTTTATCGTTAGTCTACTGCTTGAGTAGTTTCCAGTAAGCGCGGTTGTAGTAATTGGCATCAGAACCCAGAGTCTTGGGAGCAGACGTCCATCCCCCTTCATCCCCTCGGTTTCCTTCTATTTTGGGGCCATCTTGAAATACGTATCTGAGCGTCTCAAAGTTTTCAAAGAAGTATTTGTCATCTCCTTGGGGGATGATTTTCCAGTAGGCCCGATTGTAGTAATTGGCATCCGCTCCCACAATTTTAGGTGCATTAGTCCAGCCTCCTTCGCTTCCACGATCGCCTTCAATTTTTGCACCAGTTGAAAACAAATACCTCTTTGTTTCGACATTCTCTATGAAGTATTTGTCGTTACCTTGTGGAATAATCTTCCAATAGGCTCGGTTGTAGTAATTGGCATCAGCTCCCAAAACACTAGGCGCCTCAGTCCAACCGCCTTCGTCTCCTCGGTTTCCTTTTATTTCAGGGCCGTCTTGGAACAAGTAACGCTGTGTTTCCACATTTTCTATGAGATACGTTCCCTCAGCAATACCAGAAGCCATGTTCATTGACAATGACTTTTCTCTTTTCCTTAGATCTTCAGTTCGTGTCAAAACTGTAGGCAGCTCGAAAAAATGATAATGCTTGCTGCTCGTTTCTTTGTTGTTTATATGCATTTTTCTCACTTAGGAGTGGGAGTATCGAGCACGTTACTCAGCCAATCCGCTCCTCAGGATCAAACCGCAAGTCACAACTCACCATGCACATTGTGCTCGATAGAGGGCGCCCCGCTACCACAAAAAAAGGCGGCAGAACAGTCTGGAAGACTTTTTGTGCAGAATACCCCGCCACTTTGGTCCACCTCACTTACATGTGTCGGGAGGCTTTGAAGATCGAGGTATAATACAATAGACGCCATTCTTATTCAATGACATGTAAATTAGTGGCAGGGTATTCTGCAGTTTAGCCTTATTTATAAAGGAAAATAGAATTTCCAATGTCATACATATAAAAAGAGCAAACGAATACACTTAAAGCTGAAATGTTTGGGACCGGTACTGCGATGATCTCGCGGCGTACGACGAGCTTTGAGTTAACGAAGTGTAACTGTTAAGTGTATCGAGGTGAACGAATCGGTTGCTTGTACAGTGGACTACAGTGCAATAATCGTTGATCCTTGACCTTCGTATCAAACCTAATTTTAGGTATTGTTTACTTTGTTTTCGAAAGAAAGGTTTATCACGCAACTGAGTACCCAAATGTTTTTCTTCTCAAGGGTAAGAAATTCACGTCTTGCAAAAGTATAAAATTTCTCTTCTACAAAACATTGTTTTGAGTATTACAGAGCTGTTTAAGAATGAAATTGACTGCTAATGCAAAATACAGTTCATAACTGGACAGGCTGGGGAGACAAAAGATATTCAAAATATTATCGGGACCAATTGATTTGAAATAATAATTGGGTGAAACAAATTGTGCACGCCTTAAGACGGGTGGAAATAATTATAGGTTGGCAAAGCCACAATTGATAAGTTTGAGAGGAATAAGGGCCCTCTCTTTGATTCCTTGTTTTTCAAGAAAAAGTATTGAGTTGTTGGCTGAAATAGTTAATAAGCAAATATATTGGACCAGAATTTTTACCAAAGGACATAAATATGTAACCTCTCCCTATAATATTCTAACGTTATCCAGGTAATGAGAATACTCAAAGCTGTTATCTTGCTCTAACAGCAAAGTCTCATAACTCAACTAAAAGGAAATTTGGAGCAGCAAGAGGGGAGAATTAACAATCATATCTTGGAAGTTAAAGAGTTAATCAGTCAGCAAATGAAGAATGAACGAATGAAGAACTGCTCAGTTGTTTCATTTCAGTACCAGCAAAGACGAACAAGTCTTCAAATTATAACTTGTAAATTGGTGTAAACAAATTCGAGCGCTTAGGCCGATTATTTAAAATGTTAAATACAACTATCATTCAGAAAAGGCAAAAAGAAAATGCGTGTCATAAGCACTACACGTGACGCGTGAATACCCATCAGATGGGAGCTTTAAGGAGGGTGTTACCTCCGGCCAGGGGGCAGAATAACACAATAGACGCCTTATTTCTCATTCCTATTTCTCTGAATATGCCGTATGCAACGCCCTCGTCTCCCTTCTACCACTCCTCCCCCCTTCCCAACCGCCACATCTCTCTATATAGTGTTTAAAGAACTAGCATCGTAGGTTACGCTTTGTTTCTAAGTTTCCTTAAAATTCCAAACGGCTGGAGGATAATGCCTGAAGATAGCGACAGGAAACGATCCATTGACGTTGAGCTTGGTCCATACGTGATGACCTCGAGCCAAGTATTTTGACTTCCGGTCCTCCCACTCAAACATTAAGTGCCTACTGATATTATTTGGGATGGTATAATGCTCTCTTGTTTTTTGTACGTAATGTTTGAGTCCAAACAATGTTGCACTAACTTTCATGGCTTGGCAATTTACAATTATTGGACCAGTGATTAAAAACTGTTTCTTTGTTCGTCACCTAATAAAATTGGTCGACCGGTCATTAACCGTTTACAACGCACGTCTTATGCTTGTAGAGAAACGTTGTTTAAAATGTAGAGCGTTTGATTAAAATCAACTGGTATAAATGAAAATTTGCGAGGGAAACGAGCATTGGCTTACAGAAATCTTACAGCCATGTTATAGTCAATCAAGGCCATCAAGACTCGTTGCTTTGTAATGCATCAGTGAATTTTTTTTTAAATATTCAGCCTTTCGTGCCTCACAAGGTAATAAACGCAAAAACCTGCTAGCAGAGGAAGCTTGAGATTTTTTTAACGAAAGAAATGACGATCTGATACCGCATTTACGAAACGTTTTGTGGCTCATTATAATAACGGTCGATAAGTGAATCGTTGACTCATAACATTCCTAACAAACTAATAATTAAATCGGCCTGGTTGATACTTTCGAATCAGTTCACCACAACATTGAGCTTTTGTCCATCAACATTGCACAAGAGATTATAGACTTTACAATCCCTTGCTTTGCATTTGTGGTCACCTTACTAGGGGTAGGGTTAGTAGTAATCTAATGTGAGCCAATTATAACTAATCATTTCTGCCACTAAGAATAGAGATCTGGGTACGGGGGTAGTGGCGGAGGGGGCGGAGGGGGCTACTCTGTCACTTCGTCACGAATGAGGGCATGACAAGTTACCCCACGATGCGCCATCTAACCCGTAAACTGCTTCTAGATCTACTTTACATTGCCTGGTAGAGAGAGGATACTTATTTGAAATCTTTCAAGGGGCTAACCGCTAGGTTCTCCAAGTCTTATGAACCATACTTTTATGGAGCGGCACATTTTTAAAAAAACTAATTTAGCGAAATACTCGTTCCCCCGAAAAACTGCGTGGAACTTTTGATACGATGAAGCATTTGGCCTCCCTACAACGAAATAATAAAGTTGATGTCAAACTTGTATTTAAGAGAAAATAATTCCATTATTTTCTCGTGTTGTATTCTATTTCCTCGACTCGACTGGAATGTAGTTATAGAAATATATATCTCAAACGATCGAGAGTTCAACTGTCTTCAGCATGCTATCAACAGCGACCAGGAAATGTCTACTGCTTCTGCTTTCTCAAAGGAGGGCGGCGGTTGGATATTTCTAGCAAGGTTAGAAGAGTAAGTAAGCCTAGTAACCAAGAGGAGTTGTCAACCATTGCTAGTTCCTCATCATAATCCACTCTCCGCTGACGGACAATCTTGTAAGCGGACAGCTCCACTAACTGACCATTTTTTAATTCTCCGTTTGCCTCCCAGTCAAACTCTGCACACATTCCCGTAAGCGAACGCGGACACTTCAAAGTGAAATTTGGATTTTCTGTTACATGCGCTCTCTTGTGAGTGGACACTTCATGCATAATAACTGATCATATAAGAGTTGTAAAGTGCATTCGTTTTCTCTTTTTTTTCCCTCCGAGTTTTGGCATTTGCCATCAAGAAAGATCTTCAGTTTGAGAGAGTTGACAGTATTGTCAAATGCAAGACAAACTTTTCCATCTACCTATTGCAGTTCTGACCAATTCTGATCCTCAGCATAAGAGAGCTTGAGAAAATAAAAAAAGAGATGTATTTCAAGGTAATAGTCTATAGGGATGCCAAATGACACAAAAACAATGGAAAGTGAAACTTAGTGTACAAGAGAAGCGTGACATTGCACTGAGTGGTTATTGGGCAATCACAAAATATATGACCCACTTCCGGTGCATTTCTACGTATTGTTGCGACTTAATGTCGGGGGAACTAGTTATCGAGCACACCACGCTCGGCGAAAGGTACCAAGACTCTCGAGCTGTCTTTTTCTGCTTTCTTTAATTACTCGGTTTTCCAGTACACGATTCCACTTACATCCTAGCTTATTTCATTCTGAGTAATTCTAGTTAATCTCTCAGGCTCTCACACTCTGATTCTCAATGGATACTTCTTCTTCGAATGCGGAATTCTGACTCTACTCTACTGCACACTGTCTATATTCTTCTGGTCTTCTCTTCGCTCTCTCCACTTTCTCTTCTAATTAAACATTAAAGAACATGCCTATATATTCACTACTGACAGATACGGGTGGGCATGCCAGCCGGCTGACCATTGGAGATCACACATTTGTTGTTAGAACGCTAAACCAAACAATTTTACGAGACTTTCCATCTGAACAACAAAGTACTTAATCATAATGCTTTCGTTCAACTGAGCCAACCTCTGACTGCGTTGGTCAAAAGAAGAACTTTCGTGTGGGTCCAAAGCAAGGTCAGTGAACAAATAAAGCACGTCTACTTGAGGAAGTTAGAAAAGGCTGTCACAATTCGGAAACTCATCAGGACAGGTCAAACCCAAATAACTTCGAGATTCGAATTCATGCATTCAACACTTTCTAAATATAAACGATAAATTAAACCAAACTGAACTGACTAAAACTAACTGACTTACTGACGGTAAAATAACTAAATGCTTCATAACAGTATCATTATTTTTCAGGGGTTGCTCATTCCATTTTTCTCTGGTTTTCGAATAAAGGTACGTGCATGATAAGGAATGCATTAAGTAAATTTTTAGAGTTATTGCTGTTACAAACAAACAGCCCTTTTTAGAAATTGTTGAAAATGAACTGTCCAATAGCTCATGTCATGAATATGTTCGGTTCTGTCTTAAAAAAACCAACAACAACAGCAGCAACAACAACTTTATCTGTACCCTACATTAAATTAAATGATACAAATATATATATATATTACATGAAAAATGGAGAGGGTTCAGGTTGCCTATAATAACCATTGAGGGCTAAAAAGATAGGGCAGCCTTACTTAGGTTATTGAAATATTATTTTAATAAAGGGTCAGGTACCACACACGCACACACAAAACACAAAACAAAAAAAACAAAAAAAAAGCTAGTAGAAGAAGAAAGAAGACAAAAAAAAAGCTAACCGGAAGCTATAGCCAGTAAAGGAAGTTTTTTAGGACTCTTTTAACTGTGTTGAATATTGAGACGTATGTTAAAAACAATTCCGAAAAACTTTTTACCGCGAATTGGACGAAACAAAAGCTTTTGCTTGTTTACGCAATAAACAGCGTATCCGTAACACAAAATATCATATGACACCGTAAACTGCACAATAGGCTTAGTTCAGTGCGGAATCATAATTCAGCGAAGCGCTGTGCTTTTATTTTCCAGCCTCACGGTACTGTGAAGGTAAGAGATCCCTATATGATACTAAAGAATTTCCACATTTAAATCAAAACGAAAATCCATTTCTCGTTGGTCAGTGGGTTGTACTTATTAGACGATGCAGAACGAATTCGCCCGTTGTTGCAAACGAAAGTGTCAGACAGGAAGAGAGGTGAATCCAAAAAGCATAACAACAGATACATTCCTGAAAATGTGTAATTTTTACATAGCATGATGATAAGACAAAGAGGATTGCATCGTTTTGAAGTAATCGAATTTCGGTTTCAAATAAGGGGAACTGCGAGCAGTGAAAGTTTCGTGAGTGGGAGTCACTCGGCTATCGATTTCTTTGAGTCACAGTGCAGCATATCATCAGACTCGTGTCGTTTTCTTTCTCAAATTGGCTGTTTCTAATGCTATTTGTAAGCCAATAGCTTGACACCGGTTAATATTGAGAATTTGAACATTTCATTGTCTCGCTAAAGAATAAATAGGTAGCTTGTTTATAGATTTCTTTTGGATCGTTCTAAGAAGAGTCAGAATGATTGAGCATATTTATGTGAAATCGAGAGGAAGGGGGCGTATCTTGTACTATTTTAAATTTAGATCACTAAGACATGTCACGCAGTAATCGGTCAGGTCACGTACCTGTGAGTAACAGAAAAATGGCTAGAATTCGAAATCAAAGAAATCACCAGTTTGATCATGATAAACCTCAGGCGACGAGAGGACAACAAGAGAACTTCTGTATTTATTGAAATACTTTACCACAAATCGCAAAAAGAGAAGATGAAGAACGTTCAGCTACAGCCCCAAAATTAGACGTTCCCGTGGAAAAAATAAGTGTGCTTCACCTGCTGGAAATTTCTTGGTTAACTTGAAGTCTGATGTTAAAAAACCTTTGATCTGTAGCCAGGTTTTTATATATCTATCGCTTGATTTTTACCTTCACTCTTTGTTTGGTCGGACAATATCCTCAAACATAAACGCGAAAAACAGCCGGCAGATCTCTTTCTGTCACGCAATGCTAAATAGCAAGATGATGGGCTTATCTTTCATTCAGAATAGGTGTTCACTTCCCGTAGTTGGAAGAAAATCGGACAATGCTTTAGTTTTTAGGTTTTTTATAGACTCCCTACCTGGCAGTCTCATGTGCGCCACTCACGGCTCTGCTGTTGATCACTCAACGCAAACAAAACCGTGATACGTACACGAAACTGTCACTTATCCAGACTATGATTATGCAAAGATTTATACGCAGAGTTGCAGGCTTCTTCTTCAAATGTCATAGTTCACACGCGCAGTAGGTGCATACATACTGACACTTCCTCGTGTACTCTCCTTAGAATGCAGTAATGGCCACTCAGTGAGAGAGACCCAACGATGAGTAACATCAAGGCGTATTTACATGTCGTGTACGCCGCTTTCGGTGACGCCTCCATTTTGGAATTTCAATCAGGTTAGCAGTAAGTAGTAACCGAATCCTAGTTTCTAAATGCCTACATAGAAACTCAGAAATGTCAGTGATGGATAAGCTATTTCGCGTAAGGATGAGATCTCAGCAGCTGAGAGAATATTTTGATCCTATCGTCTTATATATAGAATAATACATAGGCGCGTAGATATGAAATTTCTCTTCTCGATAGCCCACGAGTGAGCGCAGCGAACGATTGAGATGACGAGTTGAACAAGAAAAGAGAAATTTCATATCTACAAGCAACCATGTATTATTTTGTTCATCATATAAACACAAAAGCCTTTTACTGACAAGAAAAGTCGACTTTATTAATGAATGAAAATAAAAGGATCAACACCCCGGGTAAAAATCGTACAGTGCGTTAGCGCACTCAAGATGAAAACATGCGTTGAATCACTACAAAAACAAACAATGGGCCTAATTTTCATCAAACAAAATTCTCAGTTACTGAATCGGTCCTTACCGACAGAGAAATCCTTCATGTAGACGGCCAAAATCGGCCTGTGGCGAACCTTTTAGTTGTTGATTTTCGTTCTCAGCCGCGTGAAATGTCATTACCTAAGCCACTGAATACGTAACTTTCGGTTTTTCTTTTCGTATTTTGGTTTTCTTCCCCTTCTAGGTAGGTTTGAACGTCACTGTCTGTAAGCAATACTGATTTTTCGGTGTTTTAGCAGCTATAATCCAAAAAAATTCCGACAAACGACCTTGAATTGAGAATGGTGAAGGCTTTGCCGTCATTCATCAACCTGAGCGAGTGGCGCGAAAGGCGAATGACGTGTCAGCAGCTGATTGGTTATATCAAACACACCTGGAAAAATATCGTATTTTTTCACGTGTGTTGTTACGGTTTTCCTCAGGGCTGGAAATTCTTGTATAACATCGTAGTTTATGTGATAAATAGAGGATATTACATGGCCGCTCACTCTCACTCGTGAGAGATACTTTCAGCACTCGAAGATAAAATTCGTATCCCCAAGCGGCCACGTGATGTTCTGTTTATTTCATAGATACTGATGAAATTCCTACATAATTTCAAAAGAACCGGCCGCGCGCCTGAGCGGGAATCTCTCTTGTAATTGGCCAATCATGTTAGTAACCATGGCGACACCAATATCCTCACTTGTTAAAGATAAAAATAATATCTTCACTGCGCACGATGAAGATATGATTTTTTAGTACAGGAAAAATCCTGGTATTTCATCAGTATCTATATAATAAATTGTTTTATTCTTAAAGGCAACAAGCGTCGATTTTATTTGGTGGATGGGGGCCCAATCCGGTATACTGGTGCAGGGGGAACAGAAGACAACAGAGCCAAGAAACTGACCAAGCTACAATTAACTCACCCCTACTATCAATACGTTCTTTACACTCTGACGAGTTTGGCAAAGATTCCAAACAGTACAGGTACATGAACAATTGAGATTGCGCGGTAAGAGAAAAGTAACTATAAATAGCCCATGGGCCAGGACGTCCAAAATTGAGCTTTCGGTACCACTCAGGGGGAGTAATGCTACCATACATTTTTGAAAACTACGATGACTCTTGTTTAATATTACGTATGATAGCAGTGCATAATGAGTAGCTTAACAGGCATTATCAGGTGATCAAGTGACGTCACTCGTTTCTGCAGAATTAACACGAAACAATAACTGCTAACATTATTCTTTGCAAGCGATTTAACCGTTATTTAAGGGTACTTTAAGTATGAAAATGATATAAGTTTGGCCCAGATGGGTTTTTAAATTTCTGAGTTACAAATTATTTGAATTTCAACGATTTTTTTCAATGGCAACGCAGAAATATACTTAGGTATAAGCAAAAAATTCAAATTCTCAAATGCGAGACAGATTTTTTCAAAGTCTGATCTCGCAAAATTTTCACCAAATGGAAGACAAAAATAGCAACTGATTTACAGCCATTAGTTAAGTTAGATGCCACTGCTACGAAGACAAGATATCTTCATTGATATCCGTACGCCATCTTGGATCCGCCATCTTCGATATTGAGATGCGATTCTTCTAATTAACAATTGGTTCATACTTTAGCGTGCACTATCGAGTTATGGAGCACGTGGGGAGTTTGGAGAGCACGAAAGAAGCGTAAGAGTTGCCCGAGGCAACTCTAGCATCTTGAGTCTACCTGCTTGAGTCTAGCTTCTCTTCTCGGGCAACTCTTACGCTTCTTTCGTGCTCTCCAAACTTCCCACGTGCTCTATAACTCGATAGTGCACAGCTAAAAGCATGAACCAATTGTTTTATAACGTAGCCGGTGGAATTGTGCATAAAATCCGACGCGAAAAACGGACAACAAGATCAGAAGTGATTGTTCGTGGTAAGCGAAATATTAAGTGAAGTGAAGCGAATCGTGCCGGCGCTGATGCCGAGTCTCTTTTTCCGTTGTTTTTCTCTTTTTCTGCCTCATTTAAGAATTCTAGCCCAAGGGAAAAGGTCGGAAAATTGTCTTCGTTTTGGGGCTGGTGTGCTGAGTCTCTGTTTGTATCCATTATTGTCGCGAAATATATTATTTTTCCCCGCGCTAACAATGGCCGCTCGCGCGAGAAAAAACATTTTTGGCGAAGCTATCAGCGTGCACTATCGGGATTTTGAGCACGCTTACGTATACTGAATTTGATTGCGCGGCTCTGATAGCTATGTTATAACACATAATGGAGCCAAATTGTCTGAAAACTGAAACCACCCTACGTTTAAGTCAAGGCACTTATCATTTAATCTTCAAATGCTTCCGTGAGTGTAAGAAGGGCAAAAATTGATACGAAATATTTGAAAAAAGGGAGTAATTCAAGTACATTAATTTGCCTGAGAACCAAATTTACATTGAGGAATGATAGCTTTATAATTGTCTCAACTAAAAATTTTAAGTCTACTTTTTTTTTTTTTTTGTGGAGTTTTAGTCTTCAACCTCATCCACATCGTCCTCAGAAAAATCACCATCATACATCTCCTCCTCCTCCTCTGCAAGATTGTTGCAATTGCGAAGCCGGCACTAATCGGTGCATTTGAGACCATTTATGAGGCATGTACAGGTGGGTCATTTGCATGATCTTGCATAGGAACAGGAGAAAAACTCAAGAAGAACTCCAAGTGCTGGTTCCCCACTCATCAATTAAATGGATAGTTAGGTGAAGGGAATTGAGGGCAGCTCTGTAGACTCCTTCTCCAAACCGCATTTGCCCTCAGGGAGTGCATCCGTAAACAGTCTGCACAGGGAGGTAGCTGGTTCGAGTCAACTTGTTTCGCACAAAATAACCTATAACAATAATCATTCCTTAATCAAAAAGCCCCAGACCAGTTAACAAATAAGATAAACAAATAAGGGCATAACTTCCCCATACCAATAATAACGCAGTTCGTTGACATCAGACGCCTTTGAGGCGAAGTTTTATCCGATGACATCCTGAGCGACTTGAACCTCATTACGGAAAGAAATGTTAATTCAAGTCCAACCGCTAGCTTCTTTTTTTTTTTTTTTTTGATCGTTTATTCAGCCTTCTTGCAGTAGAAACTGAATTACAAGGCGGGTCATAATTTACAAATACTTCTACATTATGCATACATAGAACTATTTAGATATCAATTAAATATAAATATTAAATATTGTGTAAACATTAAATACTATAAGTAATAAAATAAATTGTAGTTAAGTATATTACACATGATTCTGATATTTAATAGTACAAAAATTTCCAAATCTAATAGATCTTGAGGAGGTAGGTACAGACACAGTTCTTCCTGCCCTAAGGGCATATGGTCTTGAAAATTGACATCGCGGTACTAAATTTCGTAGTAGGTCAGAAGAGTAGTAACTCCGCTTAAGGAAAGTGACGCACGCATCCTCCCTCCTCTGGCATAGATTAATTAAGCCTGACTTCTTAAGCGCGTCCTCATAACTCATAAACGGGAAGATGATTTTTAGAGCCCTCTTTTGAACCGACTCAATTTGATCACTCAAGTACTGCGTGAGGCCAGCCCATACAGGACTTGCATACTCCAAGACAGATCTAATGATGCTACAGTAGACCAAGATAAGCTGCCCATCAGTTAAACCACACTTCTTAAGAGCACGTATTGCATATAACCTCTTGTTTCCTTTCTTTACAATATGAAATATATGCTCGTTCCACGTTTTGCTTCTCTTTTGCATCGAGTGGCACCAAAATTCAAAGCCAACTCCTCTTTCTTGCCTCTTTCCTCAGCAGTTACCTCGACGACATTATTCTCATTAATCTCTACCAAGATTGCTGTTGTTTTAGAAACTTTCGCTGATTCTCGCTTCATTGTTAAAAGACTTCAACATTTCCTGTAATAACTAACTGAGGGAATTTCTCCTTCCTTAGTACTCTCGGCCAAATCAAGCAACGGCGTATGATTTCTAATGGTAGCCTCTCTCAGTAATAATTTCCAAGAATCGAGATCTTTAGGGCTAACAAGCAAACTTTCATAAGCTAATAAGTTGTGACTTTTTAAAGCCTAATCTCTTTCCAAGTTTGACTTCATGTTTTTATTGAAATTTTCTCTCAAATTAAATCATAAATTTTGGCTTTTAGACAAAAATCATAAGTTTGACTTCATGTTTTTTATTGAAATTTTCTCTCAAATTAAATCATAAATTTTGGCTTTTAGACAAAAATCATTTTGAAATACTGTACAATGTTGAAGATACTGATTTATTTGATGAAAAAACAAAGGTGGCATTTGAAATAATCGTTTTCTTGTCAGCCCCGTTTCCATGTTAAAGCAGAATTTTTTTCAAATAAAAGAGTTCCCAAAGTAGTGTAAGCTACTCTTTCACGATTGCTATCAAGTGAATTTGAAAAGTCTTTCACATAACATTTCATCAGATGACACTCACATTTTCTTCCCCTGAGTGGTAACGAGAACCTACTCTGGCCCATGGACTAAGAGACTTTTTCATGACGTTAGCAGCGACGGAAAACGGGAAAACATAATCCTAACTTTGCCCACTCGTCCAGCAATCCTCACACCAATACAGAGGTAGGATTGAAAACGACTTTTCTGGTCTCTTTAAACTGAAATATTTGGAGACATAAACGCACGAAGTTCAATTTTCGTCATTCGACGTAAACATCTTGTTAAACCTCCCTAATACGAATGCCAACGGCGAAGAACGAGGAAGATTTTTTGTATACCTATCGCCATAAATGCTTTGATCTAAATAGGTTACGTAAAAAACGTTTCAATGGAGGCTAGTGGTTCCGAAAGAAAAAATATATATATTCTCAATTACAGATTCTTAATCATCGAAAACTATATCATCATATGGTAACGTATAATCGTCTACTCTCACAAATCTTTTTAACTGTCTTTCTTTTTATTGATATCCATTTCCACCTTCCTTGTGACGACTTTGTGTACAAATCCAATCTATGTCAGGAGTCAAACTCGACGGGGCAATCGTCACACATCCACACGCTGATCACTTAGATGGCGTGGAAAGACTCTTTAGGGAGCTCCTCCCCGACGTGTACCAAGAAAGTATCACATCAGCCAGCCCAGACAAAAGATTGATTTGCAATGGTCCTGTATTACTCACAAGAAAATTTGCTCAGGACGGAAAAGCTTATCGCAGCTTCTCTGAGTTTCTCTTAAAGACGAAATTCGAGATAAGCCTAGACATTGACGACATACAGAATGCTTTCGGAAATGATATTATCTTTTCTTTTCCTACGTCGCCTGGTGTTCTATACCAGCGTCACAAGCCATCCAAAGATGAGAAGCCTCACTTGGAGGAGAAGCAAAGAAGCAAGTTGAAAGGGGGAACTGAAGACAAAGATTTGAACAAATCGAGCATCATTCTTTACACTAAAGAAGGAGGCAAGATCTGTTTGACTGGGGATGCTTACGGCTATGACATTGTGGCAATGCTTCGAGGTCACGAGGCTTATGATCTGGACATCTTCAAGTTACCTCACCACGGGAGCTCTAAGAACAGCATTTTAGGAAAGGTCATGCCCCCTTCATGGGCCTTTCAAAATTTGGCGGCGATGGTGTTACTGTCGTTGAGTCTAAACCAGAAGATCTTATGCGACAAGAATCCTGAAGAGGAGAGAGACCTTGATTACTTTCGTCAGCAGCTAATAAGAGGACCTGGAATGGGAAACGGAGAGGCTGTTCAGCGGATCGCCGACAAGTTCCTTGAGGTAATTAAAAAGCAACTAAAAAACACAACGAAGGAAACACCAGAAGAGTTATTTCACAAAGTGAAAGAGAAGCACCTTGAGGTTCTGGCAGTGCTTCAGCTGCCGTCTGAATGCGTCGACCCATGTAAGAATGTAGAAGCTTTAAGTGGTTTAGCAAACTGGGAGAGTCTGAAGAAAAACGTTGCCGATGATTTAGTTTTTCCAAGGGTTTCTACAAATTTAAAGAAGAGGAAGATTGAGTGGTGGCCTCTAGTCGTAAGCCTCATGGGTAATGACAATATTTTTCAAGACTACTTTGCCGGAAAAATTGGTATTGATGGCTTTTTTGAGTCCTTCCATTCCAAGACATACTACGTATCTGCCAGCGGAAGATATGAACACCCTTCACCAGATGTCATCAAGGGAATCATAAAAGCTGCCGTGAAAAAGAACAAGCCATGCAGAGTCGTGTTCACCTCTGGGGGAGCCGTTCCGTCTTCATACCTTCCTAATGTAAATAAAAAACCGTTCAAGCAGTGGAATAAGTTTGTTTCTCTTTACTACCTGAAGAATAACGTTTCATTTAAGTTGGACCCCAACGAGGAAATTAATACTGCACCTGTTGGAACAAGCAGATTTGAGAACGACGACAATGTGCGAATCGATGTTTCCCAACAACTGGGAAAAAACGATGGATTCACCATCCCACGGAGGTCATTTCTGCCCAACCTTGACCAGTACTATGTCAAAACTAAAGGATCAGATGGAAAACCTCTTTGGCTTGAAGTAAAGAATGACGGGAAACTCTGTCTGACTCCCAGGAAAGGTGCCCAGAATATCCTCAATGTCTCCAATGCTCCATCCATAGCTGGCGACTTAAATCTGATTACCCTTCAGCGCGAGTCTGAAGCGAGTTATCAACGAGACATTTGGCTCGAGAAAGCCTCGGGAGCTGGATTCTTAATCAAAGGATCTCCTGAGGGAAATTACTTTTTTGAAGAAGACGGCTTCCTTAAGTGTACTAATAAAAAAAATAAAGCCATCCCTTTCGTTTTCGACCACAAGACGTTTTCCGGTCCACTAATGGATGAAAGATGGATATCCCTTAAGGAATTCTTGAAGTCACTCGGATCCAAAAGGGACCAAAAAACAATCAATGTCAGAGGTGCACTCGAGCTTTTGCTCGGTCTTTCAAACGTGGAGCGCCTTAGGAAGGAACTACCCGCTGGATCTATCGGATACGAAGCCCTGGATAACGAAGTCGATATGGATTTATCTGTAGTTGAACTTTCATCTTCCGTCGATTGCAAAGTCATTTCAAGCAAAATCCAGGTCTTAACCAAATTGCGCCCTATGATGTTCGACGCGTCCCCAGTTAACACGCTGGAGGTCGTAGTGAAAGATCTATGTTCCAAACCAGACGTGTCTCTTCTGATCACCACGTCTGTTTGCTTTGCCAACTATGCCTTAAATGTTAGCGAGCATATGAAACCGAAAGAACCATCCGTTGATATGTATTTGAATGCGCTTGGAGGTGTGCCACTGGAAAACCGCGACAAATTGACCTTAGGGACAATACTTCAGCGTGTAATGGGATACCTTCCCTTGGAGGCTTTAGCAAAAGCCTTCCCTACGCACCTTCTGGGTTTAGAAATATTTACCTGGAAGGTAGATCGTTTGCTTTCGACAGTTAACTATTTCACCTCTCCATTAGCTGTCGAAGTACTGAATGGAGACTTCTACCTCATTCTTCCTACAGAAAAGAATAAAATCACTTTGGGTGGAGCACTGATTATAGAGTTATCCCAGTGTCATGTCACTGTAAAAAACCCACGCACCGAAAGGAGTGACTTTGTGATAGAGTGTGAAGCTACTATAGGAACAACCGCTGTAAATCTGAGAATAGTACCTACATCGACAGTTGTACCAGAGGTGATTATTTGCTTTTCTGAAAGCGCCAATTTCCTTTCAGTAGTAAAAATGTTAGATCCTCCAGTAAGCATTGAAGAATTAGCGGTCCCCTTACTAAACAAAGTCATCCATGATTTGCAACTTTCCAAGCCAACCATTCGTGTTGTCCAAGATATCCAAAGTTACGACGTGACACGGGTTTCTTCTATGGCTTTTGAGTTTGCGCTTGACAACTTTGCATCAATACTTCCCACCGGTCTTTCTTCACCTCAGGGTAGCCAAGCAACCATCACGATTTTCAATCCACTCAGCAGTCACCCTCATATTGGTTATGAAGTCCAATTTAAGTTAGCTCTTGCCACATCTACAGATGCCAATGCATTCTTGGATTCGAAGTTCTCATTGTGGCCAGTAGATGCTTCCAATCATCACAATTTCCAGGCTTATGCTTGCAGCATTTCGTTGTGTCCAAACCCTCCAGAGATATCGATGCAAACAGCACTTGAAGCTATCGGTCTCGGACAGCAGATGACGTCCATGATGTTCTACTTTCCGTTTATGGTAAATATCCTGAATGCAATCCTGCTGAATAAAATCACCCTCGATGTAAACTACCAGAAACGTGCAATCGAATCTTTTTCTCTGTCTCTCTTTGTTCCGCAATGTTCAATTATTGAGGAAAAATTTACCATACAAGAAGCAACCTTTCTGGTGCAGTATGGATGTCATCAATGGTATGCAGAGGCAGAGGTGACGTTGCTGGTGTTTAACAAGTTCACATGCAGAGCTGCATTTTCCTTGCCAAAACCAGATGTGCCCGGAACTCTAACGTTCAAAAATGGGGATGATTCGTTTACCCTTCATCAGTTCCTTGAAGGCATTGGGTTTTCCGTGTTACACGATCTTCCTGTCATCGATGAAATCCTAGACGTGATGATTTCTAGGGCTGCCATTTCTTTTGAAAACAATGGTTCTACATTTAAACTAACTGAGATCGAGGTGGTATTGAGAAAACGAACCCTTTCCATCGGAAGTATTAGTCTTTACAACCTTGAGGCAACAGTGCGTTACGCCGATGTCCAAGGGCGTTCGCCGATGTGCATTTCACTGCGAGGATATCTGAATCCGAAAAGTCACGCAACCTTGACTTTTGATACCGAACGTCGGGAATTGCTGGGACACTACATCTTGGTAGACAATATGTCCACGGATGAGTGCTTGGAGCGTCTCTTTCCAAAGCAAAAGGAAGATTGTTCCGGCAGTAATGCATATATGCAGGTCAAATCTTTTCATGTTCAAGAAGTTAACGTAATTTTGAGTTTTCCATCAGAGAAACAGTGGCATTTACGAAAGGTACGTGTGCGAATCGACGGTTCCCTTACACTTGGACCCTTTGTCTTGCACCAGCTTTGTCTAGTATACACGACGGAACTGTCTGGTAACGCTACAAAGCACATCTCAGTCGTCGGGCAATTTAAGAGCAACGACCAGACCCTAAGCTTTACCGTGGAGCTCTCCTCTACAAGCCAGGAAGCAAGCAGTACCATTTTGGAAGCGGTAATCAAGCCAGGTTCTCCAGGAAGACTGACACTGTCATCGTTACTCAGATTTGTGGGACTGAAGAGTCCAGAGGACAAAGTTCCGCAAGTTGATGGATCCCCAGATTTTCTTAACATTGAATTAAAGGTAAATGCTTGTTGCCTTTCGTTGGGTAATTTTCCGCTAGTCAACTTTATTACAATTTCACGCTCTATTTCTCTTGATGTTACTTTTAGGAAGCGTGTCTTCAGTTTGAAGCATCCCCATTTCGTATTCGTAAGATGGATGCTGTAGTCAAGACGACAGCAGCGATAACAGTACTCGAGAAGCCGCTCATTCAACTTCACGAGGCAAGACTTGAGTATCATCAGGACGAAACAAAAGATCCTGCACAAGTACAAATCTTCATAGCCGGAATTTTTAGCATCGGCAAACTCCCCTTAAATGTTACGTTCAAAAGAGACAAGCAGTTAGGATTGGTGCTGGAAGGTCTCTTTAATAAGGCAGACCACTCAACGAAGGTCGATTTTGAGGAGATGGCTAATCAGATATCTCCTAGTGTACCTTTCAGTCTCCCTAGGAGTGTTGCATTAAGCTCTTTCCTTTTCAGATTAGAAAAAGGTGAAGAAACAACTTCCCTCAAATTAGAAGGTGAATCCCATAGCAACTGGTCCCTCGATGCTGGATTTAGTACCTTAACCGTTCACAATCTCGGTGGCAAGGTACATTTTAAGAGAGAACGTAGTTCCAATGCGTGGAGCGGCTCCGTTTCTCTTAATGGAAAGGTTCTCGTACAAGACACTTTAGATGTGGCTGTTGAAGTGTACCATAACAGCAAAGGTGAAACTGTTCTTCATGGCACTGTGCAAAATCCACCAGATATTGACCTGGACGTCATAACTAAATCATTTGCTACTGGTTCGGATTCTTCAAATTCGTGGAAAGGACTTCTTCCTCACGAAACTGATGCTACTGTACGCTGTCCCAGGTTCAACAGAGCGTTTTTGTCTGTAAATGTGTCGAAGAGATTACTTTTGTTTTTCGGAACTGTCGCTGGGTTTGGAACAGGATTGCTGATAGTCAAGAAAACAGCCTCTGGCGAGAATTCTCCTCGGTACGGTTTCCTGTTCGGTCTAAGCCTCGGAAATGATTTCAGATTTTCCTCAATCAATGAGAGTCTTAACGTTGTTGATGAGGTCATTTTGGTGCAGAACGCAAACTTATGCGTGATTTCAAAGGAGTTTGAGCAGCTGACAGTCGCAGAAATGTTGAAAGAAATTTCTGAGCTTGAGGACATTGAGAAGAAACAACTAATGGCCGACTTACCTTTCACCAACCTAGAAAGCCAAAGCATCTCAGATCAAAAAATGAGAAGTGGAATGACTGTTTTTGCGAAGATAGACTTTTCCAAAGGAGAATCGAAGTTGTTGTCAAACGTCACCAAAATTCAAGAGAGACAGAATCACTCAGAAATTGTTCTTTTTGCCCACATTGCTGAGAATGGGAGTGACACAGAGTTTATGGCTCACATTCCGCAAATGGAGATCTTTGGTGGACACCTACAATTTCACGGAATTACCCTGATGTACCAGCCATCAAAGGAGAAGACTTTGAGCTTGAAAGGAATGATGGGCTTGACATTAACTGAAGATTCTCAGCCGATTACATTTAGGGGAGGATTGGAGATCTCGGAATCGAAGGCCGATTTTACTATGGAAGCTGAATTTGATCCAGGAATCATACGCGAGCCATTAGGAATGTTTGGAATTTCAATTGAGGATCCAGAACTTCATCTCAGCTGGAGGTTTGATCAAGATGAGAAAGAGTCGATTGTTCCTGTCTGTAGCATAAGTGGCACGGTCAAATTCTATAAATCCGGTTCAACAAGTGAGGACAAACCTGTTACGGCGCTGACAGGATCTATCTTTCTCCAAGAAGGCAGACCTGTAGTAGCGATGGTGTCGCTCGATTTCAGCTACCCCTTGAGTATTGATGACCTTTTCGCTGCCTTGTTTGAAAGACAATGGCCTTCGGGATATCTGGATATAGGCTTTAAAAAGGGAGAAATTTATTATGCAAAATCTAACGTGGAAATAAATGGAAAGACATTCCAGGAAGGTTTCAAAGGTGAGACTGAGATAGAGGTCTTTGACTATGCTTTTGGAGTCGAACTGTCAATAGACGAAAGAGGTATGCGCATTAAAGGATCTACCAAGTTTGAAATTGATCTGGTTATTGCAACACTTACTGGAAAGAACTTTGGAGACGACGAGGGTCCAGAAATCGAGATATCTCGCTACGAAGGTCAACCAGAGTTCCAATTACAAACCGGCGTTAAACTCCTTCAAGAAAAACTTGGTTCTTGTGTATTGGGTTATCATGTGAACCAAAAATGCTTTGTTGGACAAGTAACCTACAATGGCGAGCTTCTCGGGGTCTCTCATCCCTCTGTCGAGTTTGAATGGAGCCAGAAAGGTGGATTCAAGATTCGAAATTGGCCTGTCATTCTTGAATTACAGAAACTCATCGATTTCGCGAAGGAGTTTGAGAAACTAAGCCAACTCATCGATAGCCCGTGTGAGAAGCTTATTGGACTTGCATTTGACAAGGTCGTCACTTCGAGGTGTAGGCTTAATGTGCAGCAGACGTCGGTAAAGGGTTCCAGTAATCTGAATGCCTGGTTTGCGTTAAAGTTGCAGGGGCATCTTGATATCATGATCGATACTGACGAGCCTTCTCTTACCATTGATTTCCCAGAGATGGTGGTAACGATAACGAAGCCTTCCCGAGAATTCCGGTTGAGCGACTTACCTGGGTTTTTAATCCAAGAGATTGCGAAAAACTCCCTGCAGATTGCTAAACAAATCTTTTCTCAGCCGAAACAGTTAACCAAGTTTATGGCAGCCTTTGGTGGTATTAAGCTCTCACGTAAAGTCCTCTCAGGTCTTATCTGTCGTGGAGCACACAGCCCCAATCTGACAGATCTAGCTGAGAAGACACTCGAAACCATGGTGGAAGAAGTATCAAATGTCGAGAAGGCCTTGGAGACTGCCTCGAGAGGGCTTGCCTCGTAAGTCTACTCCTCATAATCGTTTAAATGAGCAATCAAGCGGAAAAAGAACGTACTTTTAGAAACGAATATCTGAATAAGACATTTTTTCGAGAGACTTATGCACTTATAATTTTATCGATCCATCCTTTCTTCAGCAGATCATTTAAATTTTCAGTTAGACTATGCGGAAGAACCCTTAATGTAATGATTGTAATGATTTCCCTCTTTTTCCCTGTAGAGTGGCTGAGGGAGGAGCAACTTTGGCAGAGCTCGCTGTCAGCGCTGCAACCGTCATAGCTCAAGTTTCTGTCGTAGTTGCAGGACTGGGGGCTTTAATGTCCTTCATAAAAGGCATCATCAGCTTTTTCACTGGGAAGTCCAAAGAGCTAAAAAAGGCAGAGAAAAGAAAAGAAGAAGCGGAAAGAAAAGAAGCAGAAGCTAGGAAAATTGTTCATGATCGGCTAACTGTTTCAGGCCTGACAATTTCCCTTCCAGAACTAGATGAAGTTGCCGTTTACTGGAAACCTCTAGAACCAAATGTAAAGTACAATGTGAGACTTTCGCGATTTGATATCGGAGAAATGGAGACAATTCTTTTAGACAAGACCACCGAAGACAACAAAGTCAACTGCAAAGGTACCACAGTTAAGTACAACAGCAAAATTTTCAAAGTGTCTGTTCAGGCTGTCTACCTTCACAATGATATAATGTTTGAAGGAAAAGAGCAATTGGTATCAGAAGAAGTAAAACCTTTCCTTCCTCAGCCGTCACAACTTGAGGCTCAATCAAGGCGTGATGGAAGGGAGGTGCACGTCAGATTCTCTCAAGTCAAGCACGCAGTTGATTACAAAGCTGAAGTCATAACCTGTGACGGTACCATAGTCGGAAGTGCCATCGTAGATGGGCATTCCGGAAAAGAAGAGATAACTCACGCTTTTTACGCAGAAAAACTTACTTCTGGAGCTCCCGGTGAGACTCGCGTTCGTGTTTGTGCTCAGGCACAGGACGCAGTGCCAGGAGAATTCAGATATTCACCGAAACTTTACCTCGTAGCGGCACCCAATGATCTTCATGTCACGTACGAATCAAAGCCACAGCAACTGAAAATTGAATGGAAAGTGAGCAACACCCAAAACATCGCACGATTCCTCTGTGAGATAAATTCAGCGGAGGCAAACAACGTGATTTATTCAAGAGAGGTGGCAAGGCCAACGGGAGACAACCTCAAATCAATTGTTAAAGTACAGGTCAGTGAAATAGCTGATCGTGCAAGATCTCCTTATGATATTCGTTTATGCTCCTTAGGGGAAAAATCAACGCTTGCAAGTGTCTTTGTCAGTTATAAAGAGAAACTGTCCTTCCTTCCTGATGTTCAAGGTGTATTTCCGTCATACGACCCTCAGAGAAATGAACTTACCGTTACCTGGAGACCTGTTACAGGAGCAACAATGTATGAAATTAGCATAAGGGAGAAGGAAAGCAATTCGAGCGTTGCGAAAAAGCTAATTTGCGAAGAGAAGAAAGACGAGGTGGTGTTTGAAATGGATGAAATAAAGATGAAAACTGGTTTGATGTACGTTGTGTCGGTGATTGCCCAAGGAATGGACATCCTTCATCTTCCAAGTGTACCATCTACCTCAAGCGCAGAGTTTTCCCAACTGCCAAAACCTGCCTCTGTCAGTCAGGAATACTCATTCAAAGATAGATTGCTCAAGGTCGCTTTCAAATCGGTTCCTGGTGCAGGATCTCATGTGATTGAAGTTTTCAGTAAGACTACGCCTTCCAAAATAGCAGGCAAACATGTCGTTCAGAAGCCACATAGTACTTGGTACCCAACAGTTACCTATTCTTTTGAAGTCGATAAAATGTGCTTTAGCGATGGTGGTCCTTTTGCGACAAGGGTCGTTGCAATAGGTAATGCGAAGTTGATGAACAGTCCACCCTCTTTGAGCCCGACCCAGTTAAAGAGCGGGGATGCCCCGGAAAGCGTTTCCTTGAAGTATAACATCCAGTCCAGACAGTTGGAGTCGGTCATCTCTTCTAAACCTGGACACTTCACTTTGGCGTTAGAGGATACTGCTCACAGAAGTAACAAATTGAACAAGCAAGACTTTGTCGTCAAACAAGATGTTGGAGATCGGTTGCTTCATCAAACGCTCTTTAAGTTTCCTATCTACCCAGCGGACGAACCGCAAGGTGCAGTATATCAAGTTCTCGTTGTGAACATTGGGGATCAAAATAATTTGCCTAGTGAGGTAAAAAAGTCAAACGAAGTGTGTTTGTTAAATCCACCTGCTTCTGTAGCACAGGAATATAAAAACAGAGTCTTCACTGTTGCCTGGAAATCCGTTCAATCTGCAGCTGGGTATAGCATCAAAGTCTTTAACTCAAAGACTGAATGCATAGCTTCTGAAGAGAGAGTGACCCACGATTTGTGTCAAGTTGGAAACCAGATGAAGAAGGAATTTGACGTATTATCGATGTTGTTAGAATCCAATGGGCTCTACAAATCACTGGTATTGGTGCTAGGAGATGAGGTCAACATTGGAGGAGCGAGCACAAAGTCTGAATCAACTATTCCGTCTTGCTCCTCACCTATAGACGTCAATATTACCTTTAACGACGATACACGTCGCATGATCGTAAGCTGTATATGTTCCAACGACGGAACTGTAAGACTTGGAGTTATTGACGCTACCAAAGTGAAAACGAAAGAAGGGGATATCCAAGAGGCACTGCTGGGATGGAAAGAGTTAAAGTGTCACGGAGGAGGAAAGGAGGTCATCGAATTCGATGAAAGTGTCTTAACTACTTCCATTGATGGTCGCCACAAAGGGGTTGCTCAGATGATCGAAACACAAGCGCAGTTATGTCTTCCAAGTGCCTTTTCCTTCTCTCAGGAAGAAGTGGCCTGGTTGAGGCCAGCTTTACCAATCCACATGACATTCGATCCAGGAAGTTCAACTCTGAAGATAACTTGGACTCCTGTCAATCTAGCTCTTCGATATTTTATAGAAGTAATACAAACAAGGGAGGAGAAGAGTGCAACTACCACTCTTATTCCATTTTCAGACGAGGTGCCGAAAGATGCTATCTCTTGCAGCATCAACACAGAAAATTTCCCCGTAAAGGGGATTGACAAGTTTGTGGCCAAAGTCCAGCCAAAAGGAAATCAGGGCCTAGTTATTTCACTTCACTCTATCGGTTACTCTTCGGAGACTCTGGTTTGCGAAGAATCTCCAACCAATGTTGACGTTTCACAAGTTGACAACAAATGTGTTAAAGTGTGCTGGGAAGGATATTCGTCCAAAAATTTCGAAGTGAGCGTTTGGAAAATGTCAGACTCAGGCCGTCAAAAAAAAGGAGCACGTAAGGTAAACTACTCTACTAAAAGACGTGTTTTCGTGCATGCTGCTTGTACATATCCCTTTCTACCATGATTTTTTGAAGCCTTTGCACGCAAGAAAAACTTGGCCTTGATTTTTAGGCTGTATTTCAAGGGGAGGGTAAATATCTGTGTAACGACAGTTTTGTCATGAGTTCATTTCTATGCCCGATTCTCGCGTCGCAGAGGACGTCTCGCTCAACATCGGTCATTTATCGCCCACAATGCAGTTGTGTTCGGTGACTTGTGCTTGTAGTGCTCAGCTCAGCATAACTGGTTGCATATGCTGAACCAGATTTCTGTGATGGTCTGAATAGTTAAGGTTTGGGAATACTCAAGTCTCTTTATAAGTTTTACCAGCCATTATTCTGAAGATTGTCAATTGGAGTTTCATTCTTCAGACACATCTTTGGTCAGTAAATTTTTGGGAACAGAAACCTGTTTTTCACTAATTGGATTGAGCCAAATCTTTCTCCGACCTTAAAAAGACGTGGTAATTGGACAGGGGAACTCAATTGCCATTTTCTCATTTCCCTCTCAACGTGCGTTTTTGCGCGAACATTGTGAATAGATTGCAAGCTTCAAGTGAGTCAGTCATTATACGTTCTCACAAACTGTAAACGATGAACGATGGTCGAAACGTTCACGCTCTGTAATTTTACTGCAGGCCGACATGGCAAACATTTTCACCAAGAAAACCAAATAGGAGTGCTCGGCCACTGTGTTACGTCGTTATTTCTTGCTACTCAATTCATACCATATCACGAGTCACCAGTCACACAACAAGCCATTTATCATTCTAACCGCAAAGAGATTGATACGGCTGATACTGCACCTAAATAGCCGGCGATTCAATAGTTCTAACCTGACAGTAAAAGTATTTTTTTACAATGACTCATCCAGATTAAGCAAAAGGCTAGAACTGAAAGCTTTAACGCTTTTTTGAGTACTCCTAAATAATATTAGGACATTGTCTCTGTAAATTAATCCTTTATTCGGAATTTGTTTCAAAATCTAGACAACCAGCCACCAGTTGACATCAACAGCTGAAGCTCTAGGCATGTCTTCCCCGGGCTGGTACAGATTTGGAGTTCGATCAGAGGGGTCGACCCACAAATTACACAGTGTTTATACAGAGGCTGATTTCTTGGCTATCATCATGGACGCTCCAATTGCTATTGCCATGCGGAAAAGTTCTGCAGTAACAGTAAGTCATGAGCAGTCTGCTGGTAGGATTAAGTTATTTGTCACCGGACATTAATGCCGTTTTGTCAGTTGGTAATTTCGTATTACTAGTTGTCACTACACAGTGTCTAGAACATCTTATCATTTTTTAATTCAGGGGTATAGGTTAACATGAATTCGATCGTCCACTTTTGAAACTCTGCCTGGATAAATCTTAGAATAATAGAAGTTCCGTTTCTTGCGCTGTAGTACTCGGAAATAACATCTTCCATACCTGTAGCGCAATAACTTATGCCCACTATTTTGTACGAATTTATACAATCCCACACATTTCAGCGTGAACTCAGGCGTTCGTATTAATTGAAATCGTAGCACAATAATAATGAGGTTTTTTTACCAGTAAGTACTCATGAGAATTTCATGCATGTGGGATTTGCCATTGTAGAGAAAGTTGAAAAGCATATGTGAGAAATTTTCTCCTGTGCAAAAAAATATGCAAAGGAATTAACTTGCTCATCAACTGGTTCTTAAAGCGTAAACTTTGGCATACGCATGCGCTTGAGTTGAGACTGTCGGTGGAGTCTGTTTATGTTTCCTTTGCATATTTCAGCTACAGTGGGTTCCTGTTGACAACATTCGAACTCAAGATTATTCAAAGTACGTCATCTCCTACCGCGAACACGACGAAGATTCAGACTGGAGACAGGCAGATGCAGAATTATCGGCGACAGAGAAAATACTCGAAGATTTGACACCCGACAGGGACTATTTATTCTGTATCTCTGTAGCGAGTGCCACACGAGGAATTGGCATTAGAAGCCCAGCCACCTCTGTTCACACTGATGCCGGTAATTGAATTCTGTTTGTGATTTCATGATCACCTTTTTGTCCGTTAAATCTTAGGAGTTCCAGCCAAAATGCTCTTATTCATTACTCAGACAGGTAAAGAGAAAAGCGCTTACATAAGACATTGTTTAACTGTAACAGGGCAATCTTGAATCAACTACTTTGCTTTTTTATCTTCATAAATCTTATGAGCTCCAGCCAAAATGCTCTTATTCATTACTCAGATAGGTAAAGAGAAAAGCGCTTACATAAGACATTTTTAACTGCAACAGGGCAATCTTGACTCAACTACTTTGCTTTTTTAAAATTCTTTTAATCTCATTTAAAATTGACTCCAAGAAGGAGAAAATTTATCAAACCAACCTTTCACGCAATGCCACCTTAAGGTGTCCTACGTGCCTTTTAAATTCCGTCTTGTTTTGTTTTATACATTTTATAGCCGTCGGACTGCAAGGTAATTTGTTGGAAAATCCAAACTTTGCACCTGCGACAGGATGGAACGAGAGGGGCTTTGCATATGACATTATCACATGCCCTTGGTATTTGATACAGCCTTCACTGAACCAATACAGACTAGAGAGTGCACCTTGTGGTAAGAAAAACAGTGTAAATGTACAAGTTGAGTATACAATGGAAATGCACTAAGCGACACTATAGCCAATTCACAGGTTATACCTTCAAGTCAGGGATATATGACATTATGTAGAAGACTGAAGAAATGTAAAATGGTTTCCGTGTTTACATAGCCTGATGTAAACACGCGGGAGGTTGGGAGAACGCGAGATAAGCGTAGGAAACCACGACGCGAAGCGGAGTGGTTTCCTGCTTATCGAGTGTTCTCCCAACCTCCCAAGTGTTTACATAAGGCTATGTAAACACGGAAACCATTTTACATTTCTTTTATAAAATAACTAATGAAAGAGCCTCTTCTTGCAACGAAGGAAAGCGACGTGCTTGTTGTTGTTGTTCATTTGGCTTTTTGGCCGTTTCTTGAATACTAGAAAATTAAGCTCCAAAGAAAAATTAGGAAAATCTTCTTCAATTACTGTACTCAAAACAAACTTAAAGAAACTGAGTTACTGCTAAATAAATAGCAGGGAGAACTCCGCGAGAAGATTCAGTATGAAAACCGTGTTTTCATACGCTCATGTAAAATGGTTTTATGGCCAATCAGAGCGCGCGTACTATTTGAATTATTTTATAAAAACATATTTAAATCGCAATTCGTTCAAACAATAGACTTTGGACAAGAAAAATTCCCTGCAATAAAAGGATTAAATTGAGCCTGAGAAGATAAACCGAAAAGGTAATAGTTGAAAAGAAAAGTTAATAGGTTGCAAAATATCAGAGAAATATCTGATAACAAAAATAATCCTGTACAAAATCAAGTGGGCGGCAAATCAAAATTAAACTTATGTATCTTGTGGTCTTCACAAACCATTGTAGTAAATCGTTTCATTAGCGCACCATTTACACAAGGTGGTAATATCTTTCGATTATTTAAACCAAAGCAGACCTGAACGCTATCAATCGTAAATAATTACCTCGCTCAAGACTCAGAATTTTTCGTTAACGTTTTACAGCACCGGTTCTATTTTCATGATGATTTTGTCTTTTCATGTGTTTAAGATACTGATGACTGGCCAGAAGAGAACAGAAAAAATTGCTGGTGTATTGCAGCAGCTAGCGGATCCAGCAGTTGGAGAACTCAAACAATCAATCTACTCGATCAAGGCTTTATTCCTGAGTATCTGGACGAAATGAAGCCAGCAATTAAAGTCTACGAGTGGTGAGTTGGAAATTTAGCTTGTTTGTCTATATAAAG